TTATTTTCAACATGAAGCATTATTTTTTATTTCACAGATCTCCAAAAAATATTGAAATTTCAAAATGTCACAAAAAGGTGTTGCACTCCTGACAATTTTAGCAACATTTTTTGACATAACTTTTTTGTTAATTGAGATATCAACGAGATATTTGGCAGGTATTTAGACACTATCTAAAGACATATGCTGAGACATAGAAATCTCTTTTCATTGCCTGTATTTTTAGTGTGGGTTGATAAATATGTGTTTGGTCATTTTTTTTAATTCACCCTAATGCGCTTCTTTATCATGGTAATGTTGTAATGTATAAATAGAATTTTGGTAGCGAAAAAATGGAACCGAACACTCCACCCCACCCCCCACCCCCCGAAATAAAATTTTGTAATTTGAACACCCCCCCCAACACAAACAAAGAGACACCTCTCCCCTTATTTTCGCTGTTAAAGTTTTTTTTTCCAGGTGTCTTTTTTTTCTGGCTGCCCCCCCCCCCTTTTTCAAAAAAGATACTACGTGCATGTGAAATAAAGTTCAAATCAAATTACACTGAGGTTCTTCGACCCACTGTTAACTTTGGCTTTAATAACGCTAATGATTTTTCTAAAAGAAATCCAAATTATATTTAAAATGCAAGCAATTTCAGCATGTCTTGCGGGGCAAAATTTGACAGAAGTATTAAATTCTTTTTACTTTACAATTTCATTAAAAAAAAATTATTCATTCCAGTGAGAGTTATCTCTTTTGTCAGAGGGTTAATGAACCTTAAAAGCTAGAGAAAATTGGCAATTTAATAACGGGAAAACACGATTCTGTTCTCACTATGACTATTCAGGATATATATCTACATCTGTTAAGTTTATTAACCTGAACTTTGAAAAAAAAAACCTTTTTTTTAAATAAAGCAAACGGACACACATTTGAAATGGAGACTTAATGTAAATGCTCATTTAGTACAATAATGTCACACGAGGAGGAGAAAAAAAACATAGCGTTCCAAAATTATGTTCAATTTTATACATTTTGTTCAAGTAAAAGCTAAAATTTGATCCGATATTTCGGATGCAAAGACGAATAATGACCCCGTAGAGAAATGACCACCAGTCATTTCTCGACGTCGAAAAATGACCCTCAGCCGTAGGAAGTGTAATTTTTTGAGGAAAAAAACCCTAGGGGTCAGTAGCCTGCACGTGCAGCTTATAAGAAATTGAACCCATGTGAAAAATGAAAAGGGGAAAACCCAAAATTCGTTGACCATTGAATTGACGAGTCGCCGCTTTAATACACGAAAATTCCCAGGACTGGAGTTACAACTGAACAAAAATTACCGATTATCAATTAATTGATAATCTCTGAAGATTTGAAAACTTTTACATCCAGTCGGTAAGTAGCTTTCGTCATTTTTTTTTCATTTTTTTTTTTTATTTATTTATTTTTTTTTTATTTTTTTTTTTTTGAGGATTTCCCATCGAGGTATCGAAAGTCGTCTGTTAAAGTTGCCAACTTTGTTCTCTTTCAGTTTCAGAGAGCGTGGATTTTTAAAAGGTTAGCTTTAGGTTATAATTTGGATTTTTCAATTATAATACTTTGTGAATATGTCATAGAAAAATATTTTATTTAAAAAGAAATCGAAGAACTCTTGGGGTATGGAACACGGGGGAGAGGGGGGAGGGGTCTTTTATCTAAGCACCTGTGGTCGAAATATTTAGATAATAATCTGGCAATAAATTATCATCAATAAATTATAGTTAAGTAACACAAAATTGATTGGAAATTACGCAGAAGAAAAAAGGGAGTTGCAAATGATTACCGGTTTTATGAAAAAAAAATAAGGGAAAAAATTCTATGAGGGAAATACAGCAAAATAAAATAAATCATATAAAAAACAATGAATATGTATTTGATTAATTAAAATACATAATTTCACATCATCTTTGAATCCTCTTAGTTTGTAAAATATATACATGAACACGATTTCACAATTTAACATTTTTTGCATAAGGAATATTGATATTACGAAATAACAATAGATTTAGAGATACAGGATGTTGCGGGTCTATACTAGATATACAATTAAAAAGAATATTTCTTTGCTCAATATAACATGGACACTTAAAGAAAAAATGATATGCATTTTCAGTATATGAAAAGCACAGTTGTCACATTTGGAACTTTCACTTATAAAATCTTTCTGTAAATCAGCATTTAAATTACTAGTATTATTTCTTAATTAACAGTGAATAATATTTTGATTACGATTAACATGATTAAAAAGCTTATTGGGAGTTCTACAATAAGCCTTTTTAATGGCTTTAATGAAAGAAACTCGAGTTGGTAGATTTCTAATATGATATGGTAGATTATTCCATGATTTAATTGTACATGGGAAATAACTATTCATATAAATTATATGAATAGTTATTTTTTATGGTCTTTATTTTATCCTTCAAGCTAGAACCACATCATATATAATATGACGTGCATGGTAGGGATAAAAAAGACCTTCGTTATTTCTTAATGAATATGAGGTATGGGGTGAAATACAAGGTCTTAGGAGATCTTGGAGATATTGTGGTGCTATCCCATACACTATCTTGTAAAATAATATTAATTTATGTATTTCCTTCTGTCAGATAATGCATTCCACCCCAGTTCATCATATAAAAGTGTTCTTGATGAATTCACTCTCATTCCTGTAATAATTCTTGCAGCGGTGATTTGAACTTCTTCTAATAAAGATGATTCCCTTTCATTACAAATATCCCAAACAATATCAACATATTCTAAAACTGGTCTAATAATTGACATATATGTTTTTATTAAAGCATATCGACAAAGAGAGTGTTTTAGCATTCGTAAAACATTTAAACGTTGACATGCTTTTTCATATATGATTTGTATGTGAGATTTCCAGTTGGCATCACACTGAAAGTTTAATCCTAAATGTGTGTGATTGTTTGAAGGTTAATCATTGGACCATTTTCACCAAATTTAACGTTGGGATGGGAGATATTTTTTTCTAGAAAAATTTACATTCACTGTTTTCTTGGGGTCAAAATCAACTATCCATTGTTTTGACCACTGATCCAACTTCCCTAAGTCATTTGTCATGAGTTTGCAGCACTGACTATATCATTATCAACAATTATGTAGAATGATGTATCGTCAGCAAATAATCGTACATTGTGAAGACATATCATTAATATATGATAGGATCAAGAAGTTACCTAAAACAGATCCTTGAGGGACACCTGAACTAGTTGATCCAAGAGTTGAAGTATAACCATCAAGGACCATCCTTTGTTTTCTATTTATTAAGTGATTTTTAACCCAGTTGATAATTTGATCCGATATTTCAAATTCCCTTAATTTAAATATGATTCCTTCATGCCAAAACCTATCAAAGGCTTTAGATATATCACAAAACACAAATTTTACATTCCTGCCTTTATCAAGAATGGATATGATAGTATTATAGATTTCCACCAACTGGTTAGTGGTTGAATCACCTATTCAAAAGGCAGACTAGAACTTATATAGTATATTTTCAATTATATAGTTGTGTAGATGCTTAACAATATTTTTTCTAATAATTTGCCAAAACAGATGTTACTGACATCGGTCTATAGTTATTGGCATCATCTGCATTTCCTTTATTTTTATTAACAGATGTAACTTGGGCAATTTTCCAAATGTTAGGAAGTGTTCCATTGCTTAGTGACAAATTAAATAATTTTGTCAGAGGCTTATGGATTGTTTGTGCAACATGCTTTAAAATTCTAGGTGAAACACCATCAGGACCTGATGGCTTACATATATTTTAAATGATTTGTAACTGATCTAATACTTCGTTATCTGTAATTCTAAATGTTTCCATATTGTCTAAAGGTGGACCTGGACCCTGGGGTGGTAAATCAGGTTTATTATGAATGCAGGAAATATCTGTAAAGAATTTGTTTAAGGCATTAGCCTTGTCTATAGGATGAAATAATGTTTGACCATGCATGCCTAGCAGTTAAGTTGTTGGTGAAAGATTCCTTTGACCATGCAGGAAAGTCTAACCCCTTTCACAATGCTTTCTTACATTTTACTATATAACTTACTATGGATCTACAATTAAGTAGCCTAGTATTGCCATTGTCGCCGTACACAAAAGAGTGAGATTCCTGATTCCTCAGTTCTTACAACTTCCAGTCGATCAAAAGTTTGTATGAAATAAATCTCCAACAGATTGTCACATACGTTTTAAAGGACGTAACAGATATCATTCCGAGATTTCATATTTTGTAAATGATCTAAAAATTATTTTCTTTTGGCATGTCAACAGTGCGACATCATCAATTTACGCGCCGTCGAAGCATTTTTGTTGAAATCATTCATAGTTTCACAAGGGTTGTCTCAAAGTCTTGTCAAAAATTTCTCAAAAACAAAAATTGTATATTAAGATAAATAGAACATCTATAACTATGTGATTTGATATTTGCTTTATCCAACTCGTTGAAGCGGTATATATATTCCCTCGGCAAGCCTCGCGAATATACTCCATTTCAACGAGTTGGATAAAGCAAAATATAGATATTATCTATATAGACACTATAGTACATATATTTGTCTATATCTATATCTTTAAAATGAGGTAAGAAACCTGATGGAAGATATGTAGGACACATTAAATTTGTTATTTGAAAAAATATGAAAAAAATGAGTGACTAGATTTTTTTCAGTTCCTTCCCCTCCTGTAATATAACATGTAGAAATCTTAAGAAAAATTGTGGCACTGTTTCAAAGGATGACACACTTCTCTTTGTATCACTTGAAAAGATAACATTTCAAAATGAGATCAAAATCAATGCTATCAGGTCGGTAACAAATACATATTTAATTTGATTCGAAAGGTATTATTTCTAAAAATGCTTTTTAGTGGGATCAAACATCTGCCTTTTAACTCAAGCTCAACTGTATTATTATTATCATTAAACATCAAAATGATGAAAATATTTACGTACCTGTATGACTGGTCTCCCAGAAAAAATACAATAATGGGGGTGCTGAAAGAATTGAAAAGGACGGGAAAGAAAAGCACAACATAAAGACGAAAATGAAATTTTCCAAAGTTGCCAAATTTCTTAATCAGATCGTCGTAATCCATTCTTATGTTTTCTTTTTTCTCTGTCTACACCTTTGTCAAGCGGACTGCTGCGTTCAAATGATACTTCATCACCGAGTCAAACGCACTGAGTCTAACGCAACATTACGGATTACGGCATCAGTATAAAAGGTGAAAAGGTTTGATTGATTGTATGCTGATTTACGTGCCGTTCGAGAATTTTTCACTCATATAGAGACGTCACCATATACCGGTGAAGATCTTCAAATTTAGACCTTTACTCGACACTCAGGGCCATTGAGCAGTAAGGGTTCTTTATCGTGCCAACGCCTACCGTGACACGGGGCCTCGGTTTTTAAGGTCTCATCCGAAGGACCCGCAGCATTCACTTCAAAGTGCCGAGCGCTTGGCGAAGGAACACCTATTTTTTTTATCGACTTATGTCAGTCGCGACCGTGATTTGAACACAAGACCTTCCGATCACGGAGCGAGCGCTCTACCGACTGAATTACCATGACGGCGTCAAGGTTTAAAAAAAACAGAAAAGAAAAGAAAGTAAAAATTGGTGAAAAGGTCCTTGTTTTCTGGTGATTGTAGATGAAAAAAAAGACTAAAAGAAACAAAACAGTGTACATTGTTTATGACAAACCTATTCAATCATAACCCTGACGCTCTAAATACAAATGTACAATCTTTATTTTAGGAATATTCATGGACAGTCAGGCTATCCTCCTCCTTTGTCTTAATATTTTTTTTATTTTTAACATACTAGTAATCAATTGCTTTTAATGACTTCATGTTTCGTGATTACATCCGAAAAGGTGTGTTCTAATTTCTCAAAGCTAATCTTACGTTTGATTCACAAGAAATACAGTTTGGCTTGTGGTGCGATTTTGAGTTCTATGTGGGGAACAGCCATGTCTATAAATGGATTCAGTTTGGTCCTTAGCATGTACACTGATTCCGATACCGTGCTCCCAGCTGTTGCGTTTGATTCGGTGTATGTAAACACCCTGTTTATACATGAACGGTGGCGTTGTAATTAAATTGCCATTTTATTTATGTACGAGTGGAGTCGACAAAATAGGCAGTCAAAGATGACCGAGCACTTAAAATTAATTTTTTTTTTTTCGAAAAAAGCAATGCAAAGATGAATGTTTTCTTTACCTTCTGGTTTCTTCCGGTGGTGGATTTTAAAGCGACCTAAATTAATTTGAATTTACCGATTTACGCCTGGATAATATAGGAATCTTAATGTTGTCGTTTGAGATTATTTTGTATAATACTATTCTGCAGGAAAATGATTTGCATTATTTTTTAAAATGATGCTTTTATTTATGCAAACATTAAACTATATCCATTTTCTTCACAGTTGAATTGTGCATAATTGCTTTTATCTGAATAACATCGAAAGCTTTTAAAAGTTTCTGATTGTCCTAAGAAAAATAAGTACTTAGTTCTCAACAAAACCTTGACATCATCCACTTCCCTTTTTAGTGTCAACTTTGTCTCAATTTTATGACAGTGTCTTTAAGCTATATATGGCGTATCTGAGCTAAAAAAATAAAAACACGAGATTGAGTGTAGATATATGATATTTACGTTCTTCATGACTTTTCATCGATTTTGAACTTGAATAACCTCATATTTCCATAGTTAGACTTATTTTAAACTGTCTGTTAATTAAATGCAGAGTCGGTAAATAAATCGGTGATTGTTTTAAATTTCTAATATCTTTGAAACGTATGGTGGCATATTTATGCCATCCACATAATTTTTGTCAACAAAGCATATCATGTCAAGACAAGATAACTATCTCGTCAAGTCATGAAAACTTTCTGGTTTGTCGTCAAACACCGACTTTTTATCATGTCCAGTCAAGATAAGCTTTCGTATTTTTTGCGATAGCTATGTCGACAAACAGAGATAATTTACGTCAAGATAGCTATCGCAGCAAAATGTGATAGTTTATCTTGAATGGACAAAATATAAAGTTGGTGTTTGTCGACAAACCAGAAAGTTATCATGACTTGACGAGATAGTTATCTTGACTTGAGACGATATGCTATGTTGACAAAAAATTATGTGGATTGCATAAATATGCCACCATAGAAACGTGATTGATTTAAAGTGTGTAATTTACAGGAAAGTCCTATCTTTATATAAAGTAATGAAACAAATAGAAAGATCTTTTTAATTTAAGTCTGAACTTATAAGAAATACGCCTTATATGACTTTAACGTTTTGAAATAAATGTATAACTGCCCTGAAAAAGGTGACGATAACAAACAGTGATCGATCTCTTAAAACAAAAACTAAAAACAATACAATTCTTTCACTCTGACAAAGTCAATCTCACATGTAAATCGTAAAAAGAATAAAAATACTACACTGTAAGGTTTGAACTGTAAACATTAGTCATAATGACAACTAATCCACCTACATGTACATATAAACATGAAAAAAAATCCACTTTTAGAGAGAAAAATTAGACAACAACACAACAATGCATTTTCTTATTGAATTCAGTAGTTATATATATATATATATATATATATATATATATATATATATATATATATATATATATATATATATATATATATATATATATATATTCTTCAGGTAATAACTGATATTTAAGAAACACAGAGATTGTGTTTATATCATACTGATATTTTTGTGCTGTATTTCTTATAAGTTGTCTAAGAACCACTCACGCTAACTCTCCATTCCCGCCTACATTTTACACCCTATTAATTCCATATAAATGGCAGTTTGGTCATTAAAACTTGATTGAATTCAAAGAAGGGTTCATTATTAATTGATTAATAATTTTAAACCCAGTGTCAAAATGTTATTTGTTCCTATTTACGACTCTTTTAAAAAGGGGGTTGAACATTTTATCCATTGAAATCAGGCTTTAGAAATTCTTAGATTTTCAAAAACGTATGGAAATGGAAAAATGACCCTTAAAACTTTCCGTATGTTTAACTTGTGTAAAGTTCAACATAAAAGATTGATAAAAGACCTTATTTTATTTGTAATCTCATTTGAAATTGATAATAATGACCATGTTTGCAGTGTTTTATCTGTAAATATATGCCCCCACCCCCACCCTCCACCCCGTGAAACAACAAAAGCTTTGGCATAAATTTGTCAAATAACAAGTCATAAAACCCATAAAAAGGATTTTTTGTTTCACGGGGGGGGGGGGATGTTTTTTAAAATATTTTCCGTTTTCCTTTGATTTCTAAGTGAAAAAACGCAATTTTTACCAAACTTAAAGAGTTATCTCTCTTAGTTTCCCAAATAAGTTATGTTTTATGAAAATTCACATAAATATCTATATAAATATGAAAAATCATTCAAATATGTTAACTTTTGAAATTTGACTTGGAGAAGGCGGCAGAACAATGCTATCGTTCGCAGTTCTTTATTCACTATACATACTGAGAGGATTCAGAATATTTATCTAATCTGTAAAACATGTAGGATTTTAATGGCCTATAGCTAATTGACCAGCAATCAATAAAGAAATGGTATTTTTACACTCAATGTGTTCGCCGAGCATTTATTCTGAATAAATAACACTTTCATTATGAACTCGAACAATGATAACGAAAGGCGCGGATCTAGGATTTTGCGTGAAAAGTGAGGGGTCACTTATTAGATGGCGAGGAATCTGGGGACTGCAGAGGTCCGGGGCAGTGACCGATCAGGGCCCCTGGAACAGGTTCATTTAAAACGTTATCTTAACAAATCAAATTTCTGAACCGATTAGAGTTTTCAAATGCTAAAATATTTTTTACCTAATAAAAATCTTAGATATTAATTGTAGTAGTTTGAGGAGTGACAAGTTAATAATTTGAACGACCATGTGTAAACAAGCACTTAATCGATAACTGATGAATCTGACGGTCTATAGATCTTGCTTCTCAACCATGGGAATGGTTTGTATAATACATAATTATATAAAATAGCTCTCTCTCTCTCTCTCTCTCTCTCTCTCTCTCTCTCTCTCTCTAATAAAACGACAGAAAAAATGCTGAAAAAAAAAAAAGAAAATCCGTCTTTGAAATATTTTTACAGCTTTATCTTTAGGGCAGCTCATTCATAAAAGGGGGAGGGGCACATACGATTAAGTCCTGTGTAACAATAGCCAAATAGCCGTGCCTCCCCCCCCCCCCCCCCAATAATTTTGCCGATATATAGATTACTATAGAAAGCATAGCTACTATATGCTTGTGCACCCTCAATAAAAATGTCTGATGACCTATTTATTATTTTATTTTTTGCTTTCAAGGAATTTTTGGTACTTGATAGAGCCTCCCATTTGAAAATGTATGGCTGCCCCCCCCCCCCCCCCCGAAACTGAATTTGCTTCCTACGGGCCTGATTATTATTATCCATATATGATGTATTATTTTACATAGCATTTTACTTTCCAGTACTATATATGTCATGCATCACAAGATTTTACTTTCTGTAAAAATGTTTGTACCTATAGGTTACATGCAGGCTCGTAGGAAGCAATTTCAGTTGGGTTTTTTGAGGGGGGCACAACTCAACATCAGAAATCACTTGACATGCAAAAACCAGACGTTATAACTTATACATTAACTTTGTCTTATCATAAAGTATAGGTTGGCAAAAATATTAGTTGGTGGGGAGGGGGAGAAGAAACCAACCCCAACCCCCGTTTCTCCTACAGGTCTGAAATTAACCTTTTATATATATTGAAATTCGCAAATGCATCAGGTTGAATAGGATAAAATGTCAAGATTAAGGTATTCAATGTATAATGAAGGGATTTTGAACAATTTTGAATCATTTTAAACTAGTTAAAAATGCATTGGTAAATAACCATGAAAGTGAAATGAACTAAATTCACATGACTGATAACATATAAGAAACTGGTCATTTTGCACTTTAAAAGTTTTTGAAGAGCTATCTGCCCTTGATGCAAAGAGGAAAATTTTAATTTCGTCAAAATATCTGCGGTAATTGATTAATTTTATTTCATATTTTAATAAAGAGAGAATGTATGTATATTTTCACCAAGAGCTTTTTATAAAATTCAAATTACTTTTTACAATATCTTAATAACACATGCATTGTCCATAGACTTCAATGTAAAATTCAAGGTGCAATTGATTTGACAATAATCAAACTTTTGTAATTTTCTTCGGTGGAGTATTTTTATTTCATAACACCTTCAAAATGATACCATAATTACAAATATAGGACCGTTCATTTATTAGATACAAAATATGGACGTTATACATTGAATACCTTAAATTACGACATTGTATTTGAAAAAGGAAACAATAAAAGACATTACAGGATATTTTACCTTAAGCAAATGTGTTTATGATTTTTTCCGTAGTTTATCGTATTTGAACACCCCCTTTAGAAATGGCCTCCCCTAAAGATATTTAAAAAATAGAGTTTTTTTCTTCCCTTCAATTTTCAATCTTTTTCTTTCTTTCTTTTTTTTTTTTTTTTTTTTTTTTTTTTTGTTACTTTGACTGGAGTTCTTTCTTGTTTTCAACTGGAAATTCTCCTTCCTTCACCTTCCTCGTTTAATAATTCCTGAGTCCGCCAATTATTCCTTGCACTATCATAGGTGTATTCAAAGATAATACGGAAGGCAATATCACCTAAACTAGTAAGCAGTGAGCAGTTGGCAGGAACAACAAGCATTGGCAGCAGGAACAAGCAGTTGGCAGCAGGAACAAGCAGTTGGATGCTCTTTTAAATTTGTTGACGTGATAAACCAATTCAAATGTGGACCATCAAAATATCTTTGTTTCCCATAAATTCGACTCTCAATTCCTAAGTTGGGTAGGTTGGTAAACTATTTTTTTTTTCAAACAGACGCTTTCAAAATACATTCTAGAATTAAGATATAATAATACGAGTACATGTACCTTTATAAATAGCAAGGCATTTAAAACAAAATATGTGCATAAGGAATGTAAAAACAAAATTTAACAGTGAATTAATAAACCACCATTGTTCAATTGAACTGTCAATTTATTGAGATCGTTTAATTGATTCTCAGATACTCATAAATTGAACGCATATGCAGTGCGTTGAGACCGGTGCTTAGACGTAAAAACAAGGGTCCTGAGTATCAGTAAATACTGGCACGAAAAAGATCCCTCACTACTCAATGGCCAGTAGTGCAATGAACATGTCTAAACCAGTAACTGCATGGTACTGTCCCAACAATAATTGAATTCAAGAAGGGACTTAAAGCAAACAAAGGAACTTATATTAAAGGAAAGTGTACTAGACATTTGAGAAGCTAGGAAGCTGTTCCACAAATTATTTTTAAAGATTTCAAAATCCGTTTCGAAAGTATAGGTAGAGGATAATTTAAACAATAAATTTAACATACTTAGCAAGAAACTATGTCTACAACCAGAAAGGATTTTCTAAAAATCCAGGGGAAAAAATGACAAAAATGTCCAATACCAAACGTTAGAGGTATGGCACTTCAACAGAAGTTGAAGAAACGACTTATGAAATGTCATATACCAGGATGAAAATATACAAAGACTTCTTAATATTCACAACCACTCCAGCAAATAGAAATTGAAGCATAAGAAGATAATTGAACTGATAGTTAGATCAAAACTCAAATCAAATGAAATGCATTGAGATTGACTGACGTTTACAGTAGGTGGGTCCCTATGTAAAACCAGACTTAAAGAAAGTCCTATAAATACCCACTGCTGAAAACACTCTGAATTAATCGTGGTATTTTATATTGACAAATGTTTCATGAAAAATGTATTATAATGAGTTAATGATAGGATGCCGTTGTTTTACAATACTGTGCGAACGTTCTTTGAATCTTTCTTGGAAAACCTACTACATGTATAATATAACCACGTTGTGACCATATTGTTGCACGATTTCTGGACCGTGTCCGGCGTCGGCTAGCTGCATTTATCTCAATTATTATCCTCTACTGTTTAATGCCCTGTTCACACGGAGAGTTTAATTCGAATTAAACGTAAGTTACTGCGAATTAAATTTGAACCGCGTTCACACGGAGAATTTAATGCGAATTAGTTTAATTCGAATTAATTTACTGCGCATTAAATTACTTCGCATTTGCTCCGTGTGAACGCTAAGCGAAGCTAATTCGAATTAAATTTTGACGCATGTGTAAGGGCAGAATTAAGTCAAAGACCACATGTCGGTGGTCAGATATAGTAACTTGTGCTATTTTTGAGTGGAAAACCAAAGAAAATTATGTTAATCATTAAAATGTTTACAGACACTATGACATTATGTAAAATGTACCTGCTCTGCACAATGACATGATTTGAAAATGACGTCATAATAGGCTTACAGAATAGCTTTACCGTAGAAATATAATTATAATTCGCATTAGTTTACTTCACATTAGCTCTCGTGTGAACGCATTCTAATTCGCATTAGTTTAATTCGTGCCCTGTTCACACGGAGAGTTTAATTCGTATTATTTACATTTGCAAATATTTTTCTTAGATGAACCTATTGAAAAGAAAATATGTTCAATTCTGTATGAACTTATTAGGGGGTCAGAGGTCATGGCGTGACCGAATCACACAGCGAGATAATATCTTGTCTACATATTTCTGTCACGGTGACACTGGTTTCGGAACTTCTAGTTCTAAGCCGTTAAAGCGATGAAAAAGATAAAATTATTGAAACATATATGTTTTTTTCGTTCAACAAATGATCATTAGTTCTTTCTTCGGTGTGAAGAATGTGTTTAATTAGCCTAAAATCACGCTTACCTTTTTAACCCGAAATTCCTCTGAAGGTATGTAAACTGAAGACGATACCACCGCTTTTGACTTCATATATTTAGAACTCATACAATAAAAGTAAGATTATTCTCAGTAGCGATCATGGTTTTTTTCATTATGAACAGATATTTCCTGAACTGGACTGCTGAACATCAATATAAGTATTCAAATCTTGGAGCAAGGCGAACTCTCACGACCAAACAGCTTCTAGGTCATTGCGCGTCACAACATAGCAATACGGCGGGCCGTTCGTGTAATAAATGCAGTTCTTTTCAGAATTTTCGTCTCAAATGTAAATAAAAGTAATAAACAACAATGTTAAAAAGTTCACTGGGAAATGAACTTGGTTGGTACGTGATCAAATCTTCTGAGAAGCCCTTCGGGCTTCACAGGATTTGATCACGTGACCAACCAAGTTCATTTCCCAGAGAACTTTTTAACATTGTTGTTTATTTCTTAAGTAAATTAATGCGAAGTAAATTGATGCGAATTAAACTAATGCGAATTAAATTGCGTTCACACGACAGCTAATGCGAAGTAAACTAATGCGAATTATAATTTCATTTTTACAACAAGGCTATTCAGTGAGGCTATTATGACGTCATTTACAAATCACGTCATATTGTGCAGTGCAGTGGACCTTTTCACAAAAAATCTTACGACATAATTTTATCTTAAGTGAAAACTTATGATAAAAATCGTTTTCACAAAAATTCTTAAGAAAGTCGTAAGTGCAAAATCTGTCGTAACTTTACGAGAGCCCCAACCCTCTCTGAAGTATTTTAAAATCGATTTTATTGTAAAAATATAACCGCAAAAAACAAAATACACGTTAATTAAACTTTTTAAAGCAATTTCCAATAATATTTTATATTTTTTTCACAATCATTGTCGAAAAATTAAATGAAATACACTACAAAATATTTACGATGTAAGCTTCTCTTAAGATTTTCGTATGACCTACTTTTACGTCAGACTTGTGATTGTGACGTCAGATTTTAAACTTCCTTGCTTCGCAAACGATTGCATTCGATATTTGTTGTCAATAATGTTTGTTATGCTGACATTTGTTGAAAACTAAGTTTTATTTTATTTTCACCCACTTATTTAAGGATTATAAAGCATATTGAAGTCGTTGCTAGGGATGAAGTCTGTCGTAAGTAAAATCTTAAGTTCAATCTGCTACGAATGCGTTCGTGAAACGCACTTAAGATTTGTCGTAAGAAATTCTTAAGTTAAAATCTTGCGCAAAAACTTAAGATTTTTTATGAAAAGGGCAGCAGATCTATACATTTGTCATTGTGTCTGTACACATTTTAGTGAATAAAATAATTTTTTGGTTTCCACTCGAAAATAGTACAAGTACCTATATTTGACCATCGACATGTGGCCTGTGACTTAATTCTGCCCTTACGCATGCGTCAAAATTTAATTCGAATTAGCTTCGCTTAGCGTTCACACGGAGCTAATGCGAAGTAATTTAATGCGCAGTAAACTAATTCGAATTAAAATAATTCGCATTAAATTCTCCGTGTGAACGCGGATCAAATTTAATTCGCAGTAACTTACGTTTAATTCGAATTAAACTCTCCGTGTGAACAGGGCATCGCATTAGTTTACTTCGAATTAATTTACTGCGAATTAAACTCTCCGTGTGAACAGGGCATAAGAACAGCTTCATCAAATGTAGTTTTAACGTTTCCAACAAACGCTTGAAAATCAGTAGAACTAGAACAAACTAAATATATGGATTTGGATGAAATTGGATTTCATAAGTTATTAAAAAATATTTAGATACACTTGGTAAAAAAAGTGGCACGTTTTGATAGGATTTGTCTCGTTCAGGGAAACAAGGTTTTTTTTCACTCTGGCCTCGATGTTGAAATTTTTGGCGTTTATTCTCTACGTCACTTCTTTGTGACGTCATTTTACATTTTATTTTCAAAATGAAGTCTACAAAACTTTTGATATTGGCGACTGGTTTTACCACTGTAGCACTCTTGTGGTTTCTGCACAAAAGGAAATACATTTTGTTTACAAGGGTAAGGTCAGATCATCCATTATGTTTAATAATATAACATTTAAAAGCGTATATACTTTATTCTTTAAAAATATTTATTTTATATATTCTGTTCTATTTTTTGCAGACTTTAATCCCCGAAAGAATTATTCGTTTATTTTGTACTTTCAAAAATGATGAAGATGACGATGATACAAAATTATCTTCTACATCTTTATCTGATGATGACAATGAAGAGGAACTAAGTAATGTTAATTTTGAGGACATGCCACAAACGGACGATGTTGATAATGATGTCGATGACGATAATGGTGACGATTTTGAGGATAAAAATCCAAACGCCACGGAAAATGTTGAAATAATCAACTCTGAAGTTACTTTTGGTATTGAAAACGCTTCCACTTGTGTACTTTCCTCTTCAACTGAGAGTTTTGACCTTAACTGGGGAGACACATCCTCAGGATCTTCTATCAATGGTGAGAGAGTGACCCAGACAATGGAGTCTGGAATCAAAGTAGACACTGACAAACAACAGTTGTCTCTGAATGATCAGCTCTCTTCTCCTGTTGTTCAGACACTTCTTACCAATAGGAAAATAGTACAGACAGAAGACGAAAAACCTCGACGTAAAGACGACTTTCCATTTCTGATGGGCGGATCAGCTGTGTGTGAATATATAGGAAGAGGATATCGACATGTTGTTTCAAACACCGGAGAACTTAATGTCAATAATTCTCCTGTATAAATGTGTGAAATAAATGAATAATAATAATAAAACAAGAACGAAATGAAAAAATCTTATAATTATCTTTAAAAAATTTTTTTTTAAAGAAATGCCACACAGGTACACCTAAATAAACATTCACTTACAGTATGAATGTTGAAAACTATGATCTGCGTTCTTAGAGTTTATTATTCTACCAATTATAAAACTGTGCTTTCCCATTAACAAAAGTAAAAAAAAAAAAGTTTGTGTAAAGTTTCTCAATTCATATCCGTCCTTTGCATTATTTCTCTGATTTTTCCTCCATCATGGCAATAGGATTGACGAAGCTTGTGGGTGTCGATTCCATGTTTGATGTGCTTTTTTCCACCACAGATGGGTCCGTAAACATTGACTCCTGAAATTTAAGTAGAGCTATGACAAAACCAGGGGAAAGATACATACACGTATTAATGTAAATATATTTTCTAACAATCTCCAACCGTGTATACAATGTTTCACGATGACCAAATTCAGGAGATAGTTAAAGCAATTCTAAGCATTCATTATCCATCCTATTCTATGGATTATATCATACTATCATACATTAAGAGGCCCAGTGTCATATAGAGGGTTGTCAAATCCCCGGGATGAATCAAATGTGGGTTGTTCCTCCTGTTCCAGAGCTATAGAACTCGGCATCATTTCCATATCTATCGGCTTCTCATTCTGACAAAAAAATCAAAGTAAATACCCATTACATACAATTTCAAAAAATATTTTTAGATTGATTTTATTGGTGTGTCTTACCCTCCAAACTCTTTCACTTGCTTAAGAACAAAGACATAGGATGTCATATGGATTCTATACGTTATCAGATAATTAATTGCTCGCTCGTATAACAGGCAGGTATATATATTTTGCAAAATTTAACTTTGTCTTTATTTTAAAGTCAAAGTTTTGCCTCACTTTAATATTCGCTGCAAATGAATGTACCTCAAGCGGATTATTTCCATACATTGGGTTGTCAAAGCCCTGAGATGGTCCCACGTTTTCCGGTCCACCAAACCGGAAGCCAAAGGAAGGTGGAACCTCAACACGAGGCTTTCGAAAATTAGGTTTTTTAAAACTGATTTTGTCGAACACTTTAAATCCTAGATCATCAGGGGTACTGCAAAAATAAATAAAGTGATGTACATTTAAAAAACTTTAATTAGTAACAGGAGAGTTTGACAAGCGATCTGGGTGCAGTGTAGGTTGCCTGGTGCATAAATCGGCAGTAACGTACCATGTCGTTTGCTTGGAAATAATATTGGTGATCGTGTTTCTCCTTGCATTAGATCAACATCATTGCAGAAATAGTCACCGAGATAGCCGTTGTATTTAACACAGCTCTTAACATTATTGTATAAGTATTTAATTTACACTGTATATGTTAAACGTTTTACCCTGAATGCCAAAATGAAATACCGGTAATTTGGTCATAATTTTATTCTATCCATAGAATCAAAGGCTTTTTGGAAGTCAACAAAACAACAAAATAATCTTTTCTTAACAGAAAGGTACTTATTTATAAGTGATTGCAAAACAAAACAAAAATAGCATCAATAAGTGAGAATCCCTTTCGCAACCCGAACTGTACATCAGTCAATATTTAAGAAGACTTGTAAATAATCTACCAAAACAGCTTACAAGAGATATATCACGATACTTATTGACGTCGTCTTTGTCCCTCTTTGTAAACATGGATTTATGAAACATTTTGACCAAGAGCAGGGTAAATAATCAGAAATGAAAATATTGTTTGTAAAGTTTATGCAAGAGTGAGAGCAGCTTATATCACGGCATTTCATGAACAATTCTTTAACAATACAATCTTCACTACAACTGTTATTTGTGTTTAACTTCTTGAATGCTGCACATATTTCATCGAAACTAATCTCTGAGTCTAACTCATCGTACACGGCATCCTTCATAAAACATTCTTTTTTCAGGCTTTCGTCAACATTAGAACCAAAAATTTTAAAATGGGTAAAGTACCTTAAACATCTTTTATTACAAGATCATACAGGTGAAGATTTTATCCCCACCCCAACACCCCAACCCCCCAAAATCTTCTTTTTTTCGGCATACCATTTGAATGTTATGAGGTATTAGGCTAAGTAGTTATATATATTGAGAAAATTTCAAATGTACCTCTTTTTCCTTCTATAAATAAAGATGACTGCAAGAGCAACAACCGCCAATATCACCGCCCCGCCCACTACAAGCCCGGCTATTTCTCCCTTTGGCATCGGTTCGGCTGAAAAATAATGGTATACTGAATGAGTATATTTTACGGAATTCTGAATGAATATGATATGATTTCATTGGTTGCAACGTCTCAGATACTCTTGTCTACATTTATGAATGAATTTAAGTTTATTTTTTTTTAATTTCACATTTCACGTGCAAAATTATTTGGGTTGTATTGACCGAGTTTCACTTTTGAACAGCATATTAAATACATTTCTGAGCTCCGGTAGCTGGCCCAGGGGTACCACCGCCAGTTGAAGTATCTGTTATCACGCTCATTATGCTGTATTTAAAACCTCCAGCATTTATATCTGAAAAATAAAAAAATATATATATCTTACAGAAAATCAAAGTACTGAAAGGACCTGTAGCAATCTAAAATGTCGAGTTCGGTAAATACCAAAAATAAACGGACTGGAGTGATTTATCGATAAGGCCGCTCCGTGGTCCACTTATTTTCATAAAAAATAAATTTCATATTCGTTCTGCTTTATGTTAATATCATAATATTATAAATATCAACATTGGGAGATGCAAATTTGCACAAAAAATGTTTTAAAAGAATCCCGGAAACCAAAATGTTCGAGACAATTCCAAGAAACCAAAGATAGAAAACGTATAGAAATACTTGACTACCTTACAAAAAAAAAAGAAGGGGAAAAAAATACAAATGTTGTCTAAATGCTATCCTCAATGATGATAGTTAGCTGAAGTCCTTATAAATTTCTGTTACTATTTAACTGATTACATTCTTTTTAGTTCTTTGTATTCTATTTACACCACCTAGAGTGTAATTTGTGTTGCACCTCTTTTTCGGATGCATAGTAATATTTTTTTTTAATTATTCCTGTCTAAAGTGCCTTATCATATAAACTATTTTATATACAAGTGAGACGTTACAAAAATAGAGCTTTACACAAAATATATTAAACACCCAAGCATTGGGGAGGGTATTGCAAATACCTGACGGATCAAGGATATTTTACTGACATCATTTACCATACCATTCTGTATCTCTGTGTTGATTTCTTGTGCTAGCTGAGATGCCTTCACCCCGTCATTATCCATCAGAACCATCTGAACGCCACCTTCGTAAACTTTGGAGGTGATAATTTTAATGTCTGTATATTCGGGCTTTCTGTCGATAACGTTTCTATGAAGACCATTTACCAGGGTAGTGAACCGGAAGCCAGTACCATATTTCATGACTACAACTCCACCTAAAAAAGGACAACCGGGGAAGATGACGACAACGACTATGATGATACAAATAATTTTTATGCATATTTTTATAGAGCATTTTTTTTTTTTTTACGAATCGCAGGAAAAGGAGAAGAAAATCTAATGACGTACCACACATGTCGCAACAATTTCCTAGTGGCCTTAATGGTGTTCGGCATTGAGCTTTGGAGCATCTCTTTTGTTGTATTGCACAAATCCGATTCAGCATCTATAAAAACACTTTCAGCCATGACTGCTGAAGTAATAATCTGAATAAACCTCAGATTATAGAACTTATATAAAAAATGAAAACAATGTACAGAGAGACGGACATACTTCGGTCAAAATTAATTATTAAAACAACCAGGCAAGCTTCATCAAGTTTTCCTTTTAAATGATATGATATGTTGGTAGAGGTTTTTCCCCGTTTATTTATATCAGACACCTTCTTTACATGTGACAACATATACTGGATGTAATAATTGATCATTGTGCGCTATACAGTAGGCAGGTGACCAGCTAGGGTCACAAGACTATTTATTTGAGGGACTTAAGGTCTATGGTCAGCTTCAACCTCAATATATGTTTACCGGCAGTGTGACTATTTAGTGTCGAATTCGCAATCTGAGATCTAGAGATGGTGGATGGCCACTGAAACATGCTATCTATATCATGGGGGTGAAAAATCAATCTTGAAGACCAAAGTTATCGTGAATTTTTGACAGTGTTATAGAATGATATGTTGATTACCATTTCGCCTTTCTGTCTCAGACTTGCGAAGGAGGTGGTAGGAGACCAGAGAAGCATGCCTTATAATTTGAAATTAAAAGGGTCTATGGTAAAGGTCAAAGTCCCCGAAGTGTTTGTAACAAGTGTTGTTATCATAATATGTAAAGTATCAATGAATTACAATTTAGTTACAAACTTGCCGGGTATTTGATGATACCTCTTTTTGATTGTTCCCGCAGAGGCACCCCGTGGGATCAGTACATGGGCGTCTCTGAATTGTGACGGTTGATCGCTGGCCGTTGTTTGGGGGTGGTGGGAACATTCCTTTTCCTTGGTTAGTAGACAAAAAAGATTGAAAAGTCGTTGACGTGTATGCCTAACAATAAAAAAATCAATATCTATTTCTAACATTCATATTTCATGTAAAAATGGTACACATGTAAGACGCAAAGGAAGATTAATACCTTTCCTGTGATTTTCAGAGTGTTAATTTTGATATTAAGTCCCGTCTCCACATTGACGTAGAAAGAATTACCAGACGGAAAAACAACATCGTCATTCATACATGGCACTTTTTCAGAATCCAGTCGAGGGGTTGTTATACAGTTTCCCGTTTCCGAATCTGTTTCACACCAATTATTAGAATCTAACCAGTCTCTGGGGTAGGTAACATTGAACTCAACATCTAAAAGAAAATAAAAAATGTCAGTGCTTCAAAATTTTGCAAATACATGTAATACTTTAGCTAAGCGCAAGAGTCGAAATTTATCTAGTTACTTAAAATAAGTGTGTAGTAAATGTACTTGTATTTTTTAAAGAAAAAAACTGATGATAAATTAAACCATATTTATGCTCTGAACGTGAAATAGTGAGCACAAGTAAAGTGTTTATGAATATGATGAAAGTCTTCTATGAATGGTAAATGAAATAGATAAAATTAATTTTTGTTATTTTTTTAAAATTTCATATTTATTTTATTCTATATCATATTCATTATTTATTTTTTTTCCATTGCTGAATAGTAAATGAAAAGTATCTATTTAATATTAATTTGTCATTTTTTAAAAACATTTACATGTATTTTATTTATTCATTTTTAATCTATTTAAATGATTTGATAATAAATTAATAATATTTTAACTAATTAATAATGTTTTAATGGCAGTTCTATTTAACTACATATCAAAGACATTTGAAAATAAATGTAAAGTACATGTAAGGTACGTCATGTATTAAATTGGAAACATGCATGTACAATGACAGTTACAACATAAAAAATAAACAAAAATACCGATCTTTACCCGAAGTGTAGGGCGTACAACTGGCGCTGTGATCTGGTTGTTCAGTAAATCCTAGAACAGCATTTGATCCAAACACTACCTCGCCGTCCATAGGCATCACCTGAACGGAAACGGGAATATATCTACTACCACTAATTGGACGTTTTAAATTTATTTTAGCATTAGAAATTTTACTACAAATGTCAATTCAATTAAAAGTCGCAGAGTATACAACTCTTCCATTTTAGCATAAATATTGGTTGATTTTATAATTTACAATTAATTAACCAGTTGTTTGACTGTGGTGTTCACTTGTAGGAACACTGCGGCGCTCTCCTCCTGTATGACCGCCACATCGTTACCACAGGGAGGACGACCAGCGTTCCAGTTAGCGGGGTTCCCAAAGTTTGTATTGGATAACCATCTCTTGTAAACACATTCACCTAAACCTTTAAATCAAAATACTTACTACTATAAAGAAAATAAATTAAAGTTCTATCTAATTATTTATAACAATATTTTGGTAATTTAAAAATAGGGAAAAAGTATAACCCACCCACCCTCACCCCCTTCAACAAACTTAGCACATGAGATCATGATCTTGTAATTTGTGATACATGTACATGTATGTGGTTACTTTCAAGAAATTCAACTCACCGAAACAGAGAAACAAAACTACCCAGCGGGCCATGAGTCCTCCCGATGCTTTCTATGTGTTGTTCCTGAACGTAAGCTTTAGTATATTCTACTTATCATTTGTGCCATGCGGATCTTACTCTTGAATACTAATAAACTCCGATTTAATGCCCATCTACATCATTATCCCAGGAGATGATAACACTTGTCGGCACGTTTTATTACCCTTATCATCTCATTTAACTTAAAAACAAAATAAATTAATAATGCAAAGGACCTAGATACGACTGTAAGGTAAAGATAGTATTATAGGATCTTCTAAATAATTTTTCTATACTTTGTTTCCACAAACAACATTATACAAAAAAGACGTTCTCTCTCTCTCTATACAAAAAAGACTCTCTCTCTCTCTCTCTCTCTCTCTCTCTCTCTCTCTATAACAAGTTTTGAATGGACTACATGTAGCTATTTAGCATTTGTAAGATCAATCTACATTCTCGTATCTAGTATTATATATCTTGGACTAGTATTCTTTTCTACGTGTCCATTTATTTCAAAGATAGACTGCCATCTTTAATAATGCCTACTCTCTAAAGGTGTACCAGTAACCAGTTAACTTTGTAGTTGATGGGCGCCACAGTCCCCAAACATCTGAGTTTGCAGATTAAAATTTCAATTTCAAAAGAGTAATTTTATCATATGAACATGTCGCTTTACAATGCAATGTGATTCTAAAGAAGAGGAGGGTGTTCTAACAGAAATTATGGATACGCAAAATAAACCTTATAAAAATTTCTCGCCAAAAACCTGTATACTAATTTCACAATGAAGGAGTCTGTCTACTATTGCTTAACAGTGCTTAATTTTGCATGTTAAGTGCTTGAAAATTTTTACGGAGCTTGAATTCTTATCTTGACCTGCTAAAAGCAATATTTTTAAAAAAAAGAGAAAGAAAAAATTGTGTTGATTAACCTTTTTATAGCATTACCAATATTAGAAAAAATATTGGGAAAGAAAATAAATGAGATGATAAATGAGCTTAAGAAATCAAGAAAATTCAATCTAATTTTGTGTCGATTTTTTTTATTTGCATGATTGTATTGTCCAAAAGTGCTAAAAATGGCCTTAAAAATGCTGGAAACATGCTTAAAAAAAGAACTTTGTATACTTTACATGTACTTTAGAAAACATTTAAAGCTAATTTTCAGTTGATTTTGCCAGTATACTAGTATACTACGCATTAGATAAGCTACGGCTGTGCTCTTTTAAAAATACCCGATGATCCTTTTAAGACCACCTGGCTGAGCTGATGCTCAAGTGAGCTTTTCTGATCACATTTTTCCCGGTGTCAGTCTGTAAATATTTTACATTTTCGACTTCTCAGGAACCACTGGGCCAATTTCAACCAAACATGCCACAAAGCATCCTAGGATAAATGGAATTTAACTTGGTTCAAATGAAGGGCCACACCATATTCAAGGGGAGAAAATAAAGAATTATTGAAAAATTTATTGGCATCTTTCAAAAGTCTTCTCAACAACAACTGGGCCAGAAAAGATGAAACTTATTAGAAAGATTCAAAACATAGTGTAGATTCAAGTTGTTCAAATCATGACCCCCGGGGGTAGGGTTGGACCACAATGGACGAACACAGTAAATTTTAGATTTTGTTATACATGTTTAGGAAAAATCTTTAAAACCTTCTTCTAAAACAAAGCAGAGTCATTATTGTAGTCATATTTATATGAAAGCATCCTCAGGTGGTGTAGCTTCAAGTGTGTTCACATCATGGCCCCTGGGGTTAGGGCGGGACCACAATGGGCGATCAATATATTACATAGAAGTATATAGGAAAACATTTTTAAAGTCTTCTTTTCAAGACCAACAAATCCATGATTAGTCATATTTACATGGAAGCATCCTTAGGTTGTGAAGATTCAAATTTGTTCAAAATCATGACCCCCAGGGGTGTGTTGGGGCCACAACATGTTATCAAAGTTTTACATAGGAATAGATGAGGGGAAAATCTGCTGTTGAAGGCTATTGATACTCAGGTGAGCATTGTGGCTCATGGACCTTTGGTATATTGTTCTTATAGGTTGTACGCTCTAAACTGAAATTGCTTTATACGGGTCTTTTTGAAAACGTCATAATAAATATTCTCACAAGCTTATATTTTTTTTAAAAACAAGAGATGTTTGTGAAACACTTATCCCCCCCCCCACCCCAAATAATTGGAATTTTTGTAAGTCCAAGAGGCATAACTCTGTCAAAAATTGCTCGATCGTACCCTAGATATTTTTATGATAAATCTGTATACCAAATTTCATTTCAGTATGTGCAACCTCTGCAAAGAAAATGAACGGAAACTGCAAATAATTGGAATTTTTCAAAATCCAAGGGGCATAACTCTGTCAATAATTGCCCGATCGTACCCAAAACAGAAGTTGACCTTGATATTTTTATGATAAATCTCTATACCAAATTTCATTTCAGTATACGCAACCTCTGCAAAGAAAATGAACGGAAAATTTTTCAAATTCCAAGGGGCATAACTCTGTCAAAAATTGCTCCATCGTACCAAAAATACAACTTGATCTAGATATTCTTATGATAAATATGTATACCAAATTTCATTTCAGTATGTGCAACCTCTGCGAAGAAGATGAACGGAAACTGTTGGTGGACCGACAGACAGACCGAAAGACCGAAGCAAAGCAATATGCCCTCCCTTCTTCAAAGGGGGGCATAAAAAGATATTTGAGCTAGCGCTGTAGCCATCTTAAAACACAGAAGTAGATATCTGAACCATTGGATTAATTTGCTGAATCGATTAATTTTTAATAGGAAGGCACAGTCGAGCACTTCGGGGGAGGGGGGGGGGGGGAGGGGGTCTCACTTCAGAATTGTGAATAAGAGTTGGCTTCACAATGGCAATGGCATAACTCATTAACTGTGTTTTAAATATTCTGTAGTTTACTGTAATTTCAATTTTAAGGTGAAAAGTAAGAGATCAGTAGAACCAATGAGCACATAGTTTAAAATACTACAGTATAGTATTGTTTTATAGCACTATTATTTCCGCCCTTTCCGGCAAGCTTGGAAAACATATCCGAAATTGTGGCTTTTCCGAGCTAATGCGGAAAGATAAGAAAACCTAGGTACATGTATTATTATATATGATTTAGAAATAACTGATCTCTACGTATACAGCCTTGGCATAATAAGACCGAAGTTATTGCAGAATAAGACCGAAGTTATTGCAGGTTACACAAACAAAACACGAAACTTCAGATTACGTGTATTTTCAGATGATAAAACGAAATTGACATGGTACAGTTTATGTACAGTAGTATTCCCAGAATGCCCTACCGTGAAGTCGAGCATGCGTCTTGTAAAGAGTGTCATCTTAGTCTTTATAGACTTATATTCATACAATATAATGATCTGTTCATTTTATGCTTTGCTATCGCAGATCCCACTTTTTGTAAAGGCCTTTAAAATTCTGTAAATTGTTTTGCTGAAGGAGGGGGGTCATCCATCTTGAAAGCCCCCTTCCCTTCCCTGCACATAAATGAAGGGGCAAACTACACCACTAAATGCATGCATGTAAAAAATACCCTTACTTCTACAAATAAAATGTTTGAACTAATTCAACATGTTCAATTGTGCTTTTTTATGATGGTCAGTATAGTATGTTTATAAGTTCAGATTACTTTTTTCATTACCATCCATGTTTCAATACTCTAGATCTATAAAAACAAACAAAACTGCTCTTCCTTTTAAATATTTATTTCACTTGAAAAGGTTCACAACTATATAAAATGTATGTAACAAATCAACAATCATTAAATAACCGGTAATATTCAGTCAGCACTCACTAAAAATTGCACTTTATACTGTAAATACATGTACTAGTACTGAGGGAAAATAACAACCATCACTTAAACTTAGACAACAATAAAGCAGTAATAAATGGTTTGGTCTATAGTCTGTAAGTTAAAAATATGTCACACTGATGAAAAACATACTTTTCTTTTATTATCACAGATGCTTTAGTCACAAGTTACATGTATGATATATGGTACATTTTTTGATTAGCACATTTTTGTGGACTGGAATGTATGAATATTCAGCTCGTTATTGGCTGCATCCTTTGGTAATGGCTTCTAGAATGGTGTCTGTTGGCACACTCTCCTCACACAGGTTAACAAAGGCATACAGGTGTTTGAAAGCATATCCAAATTGCTAAAATAGGAAAAGAAAAATACACCTTAGACAATCTAATTTTTTCTAATAATAATAACTGCAGAGTGTGCACATCAGATTGAACATGCAATCTCATCAATTCTTGTATACAAATGTTTATAAAGGGCAGAGCCTGGAATTTGTCCATAAAAAAATTCTGATTAATTTTTTTAAAGTCCAATTATGCAAAAAAAAAAAAAATGGGGAAATGGGGGTTGCAAACTTCTGATGGACAAGCCCCTATTCAAATATATTACTCTTTTAACTCTTTTTACCAACTCTGATGGGTCCATATGGGAGGAGGACACGATCATTTTCTTGGGTACTTTACAACTCTGAAAAACCCCTTCTACTGTATAATGTAGACCCACCTCTCTGAGTTCAAGTTGAGGACAGGTGTCAGCCAGATGTTCCACTACTGCCTTATAACACTCATTCCTAAACAAACCCATCCGTGACTTCATGATCCTCTCCACCTGTTTGTTGTTATTGTTTGTTGCTATGGAAACAATCTTCTGTATAAGGGGTGCAACTTTTTCTCGTCTCTATAGAAATTATAATTTATGCCTTACAATTATCTTGCAATCAACATGGAAGCATTAAGAGATTAGAATAAAGTGCTGTTTTCCAGATCGCCTGTAAACAGATTTTGTAAGATGAAAGCAGAACCATTACTATGATTAACAGATAGAGAGGCATCGTCACAAGCCATGGGTTTTGTGTCCATTCTGTTTCCACAAACAAACCTGTGGCTTGCGACCATGATAGAGAGGAGGTCACATAGTTTGTCTCCATCCACTTACTATGGATTCTTGTGCTATTTTTTCAGAGTAGTATTTTCTCTCTTCAGCTGTTGTTGCCAATTTGAACAAGTTCATATTGATATGCAGATCAACATCTTCTGAAGGCACTGCTCCAACCTTAAAGAAACATATTTTGTAAATGTGTGTTTCATTAGCAAACATCCAAAATAGACATTCTTTGTTCATTTTTGACCTACATTTGGGTCAGGAATTGGTGAAACTACTTGACTGGACTGGCCTGATCCCTGAAATTCTGCCACCATCAAAGAGTCCATTTTCTGAAAGAGCACGGAGGGATCATTACATCAATGGATTAAACATCACAAATACTGAATGTGTTGCTTTGATTGCCCTATGACATGATTATTTCTTGTGAATGTATTTTCTAAATTAAGTCCATTTTTGCTCCATTTTGATTTTTTTTCCTCCAGTCATTATTTTTTAAACTATCCATAAAAATGTGAGCTCTGAGTGAGCATCATTCAGTTGAGCTTTGCAATCAACTGAACTAGGAGCAGTACACACCCTTTATCATTCTGCTCTATGTACATGTACCTGGTATTTTATGTATCAATCAGGACACTGTGACCTAAATTTGTAAACCATTTATAAAGTGTTGTTTGTGGTTTATTTATGTGATTTCTACACTGTATCAGTATTTACCAAAATCATCTGATCTGTTATCTTTACCTTCCTAAATGTGTACATCGAATATATAACTAAGAAATAAATATTACCAGGTCTCCATATTGACAGACTGTACTAGTGTTAGTTTCCTTCTTGACAATCTTGAACTGCTTTTCAATTGTCTCTGTGTTTAGATTTTCCTGTCAAAAAAAAAAAGAATAGAAAATTAACAAGCCAATGGTGAAGTATTTTTCTAAGTTCTAATCTTGAAGCTGACAATACATATACATGTAGGTACGAGCTTGACCTATATCTAACAGAAAGCTTTGAGGAAATTTGAAGACTACATGTATACATTCTCCTATTATTCCTGAAGTTGAATAGTTTAAAAGTTATGACTATGATTACATTTGCAGATAAAAAATAAACACACAAACATAAAAGCCAAATCACCTTAATCTTTGAACTCTTGAAAATGAATAATTATGTAGACAACTGTATGCCTCACAAACTTTAAACATTTACACAAAAACTGTGAACAGAGAGTAAACAGACCTTATCAGAGTCTTCCATCCACTTAACACTAAAAACATCCCCCAAAAAGGTCTTCCTTATCTTATCAAAGTAACAGGCATAGGATGAAGTGGTGGCATTAGAGGCTGTCACAGCCAGGACTGTAAATAACAACCAATATTTACATTTGCAAATGTCTTTCCTTATATGACAATATGAATTAAATTGACATTAAATTTTCAATGACATGCAGTTGGTCATGTGATCAGACTTTGTTGCATATAGGAAGCAAACCATGCGAGCCATTTGGAAAGTTCTGACTGTGACGTCACATGACGTCGTAGGTACGTTATGTTGCATTTTCATAACAGAGTCTAAATAGAGCGGTTTTTTTTGTAACACGAATAAAAGTATAAAATATAAATATAAGAAATATAATATCATTTTTTAGAGTCCCATTGGGATAAGACATGAAGTTGGTACGTGATCAAATCTACTATAACACCCTTCGGGCGTTATAGGGTTTGATCAAGTGACCAACTTCATGTCATATCCCAATGAAACTCTAAAAATGATATCTTATTTCTTAAATACATCACATAGAATGACAGGAAAGTTAGCAATGAATGGAAGCAAGAGGAAGAACCAACAGAAGGAAAGAAATAAATGAAAAAGAGCAACAAAATGGAGGAGAGAGAGAGATACATGTAGGCGAGCAGGCCAGAGATCAACAGAGAGAGAGATACATAGGTGAGTAGGCCATAGAGATCAAAAGAGAGATACATGTAGGTGAGTAGGCCAGAGATCAATAGAGAGAGAGAATACATTGGTGAGTAGGCCAGAGAGATCAATAGAGAGAGATACATGTGGGTGAGTAGGTCAAAGAGATCAACAGAGAGAGAGATACATAGGTGAGTAGGCCATAGAGATCAAAAGAGAGATACATGTAGGTGAGTAGGCCAGAGATCAATAGAGAGAGAGAATACATTCGTGAGTAGGCCAGAGAGATCAATAGAGAGAGATACATGTAGGTGAGTAGGTCAAAGAGATCAAGAGAGAGAGGGATATGTAGATGAGTAGGCCAGAGAGATCAATAGAGAGAGAGATACATTGGTGAGTAGGTCAGAGAGATCAATAGAGAGAGATACATGTAGATGAGTAGGTCAAAGAGATCAAGAGAGAGAGATACATAGATGAGTAGGCCAGAGAGATCAATAGAGAGAGAGAGACATGTAGGTGAGTAGGCCAGAGAGATCAACATAGAGAGAGATACATAGGTGAGTAGGCTACAGAGATCAATAGAGAGATACATGTAGGTGAGTAGGCCAAAGAGAAAGAGCATTTTTGAGATGTATTCCAACATTAATTTCATAAATTCAGCTCAAATTACAGGTATACAGCTGCCAAGTACTTAAAAAAATTCTACAAAATGATTGTCAAAAATGTCAAGGTCACTTACTGTTTTTATTTTTAGGCAGTAGATACTGGAACATAGACCCAGATTCACAGGCTTCCAGATAAAACAGCAGCTGAAAGCAATTATAAAATGCATGCAAAGCAGGTTATATAATTTTGTAATAGATAACATCAATACTGTGAAATCTTTCTTTTGCAACATATTAGTTTGCATCATTGCAAGCCACAGGTTTTATGTCCATTCTATTTCCACAAACCATGGATCACAGTGGCTGTCTACTGCAAAATTCTATTGTTCTTGCAAATGAATCGCTGAGTATTTATTAAGTGACGCCAGATATTTCTTGACCACTGGAATCATTCTGTTGCAATTTTGGGTACGTTTACATGGCAGCACCCTTAATGAAAATGCAATAGATCCTGAAGAAGAGGCAAGTAAAATATATTCTTAAATACTTATAAAGCTTAACATTAAAAGACAAGGGTTTTGAATGTGGATGTTTTGTGAATATGCTGAATAGCATCAGTCCTTCAGACAAGGAAATTCAAACTGAACTTGATGTACAGTTCATGGTAATGGTTACATCCAAATACACAGACCGATCAAATTCATAGGACAAAAGGTTTCTTACTTGAAGTGTCAGATCATAATCCCACTGGTTGAATGCCAGTCATTAATCTTTATGAGAATGAGAGAATTTTGTAGTCGACAGCCATGCATGATGACTTTGTGGAAATAAAATAGATGCAAAAATGTGGCTTGCCACAATGATTAACTTGTAGAGATTCAATTTTGTGGTTGGTAAACAAACATGATCGTCTGAAATTTTAATAGTTTGGGGAGGAGAGGAATTATTGGGTCATCTTATCTCAGGAAAACAGCAAAAATTACCCCCCCCCTCCCCCGAATGAAAATTTGTTATTATTTCCCAATTATAAAAGGTTTAAACAGGAATCACTTTCACCTTTGCAGAACAGACATTGAAGAAAATCTAATTTATCTACTACATGTAAATGTATATCTTATTTTACAGCCCCCTTTTTCTTTAACCTTAAATTTTTGCCAAAAATCCCCACTCTTTGTGATCAGTTTTGTGCAGTTTTACTTGTAAATAATATAATAAATAATTATTTTCTTCATGACAAATGCTATCACAATGTAAATATATGTCTTTTTAGAAAACCAGGGTCATTAAAGCCAGATCCAATAACCCAGGACAAGGCAAGCGGTATATCTAGTACTCACAACTGTCCCAGATTTTTTATTGATATCTTTATTATCCTTTAACGTACCTTGGCAAACTTTTTCTCTTTATGCATGTTATCTAGGGCTTCTATAAGATCCATGGCATGAAGCTACAAGTTATAGACATTAAAATAATAACTTTTTAATTACACATACTATTTACGGGTAGTTGCTCTCTTTTCTGTATAAGATGTGACAAATAACTGATTTTAAAACATAGTTTATCTCTCCTCTTGTCTGACTTAGCATCTGAATTTACAAAATTAAAATGTTCTAGAATACTTAAAAACTTCAATTATTACAATACATTTATGATCGAAAATAAGAAAACAAGTAAGTCTGTTATGAAGAAATGCACTTACAAATTTTCTTCCAAATGCAATAATACCAGGCCCACCGTGGTCTACAAAGTTGACAAAGACATTGTCTTTGGGTCCACTACAACATCAGAATCAATTATATAAATTAGCATATTAAATCTTTAAACATTCAATTCTAAAATTGAAAAACATACTATTCTTATCCTATTACACTAATCCCTGTGTACCGGTGTATGTTTGATAGAAACATGGTCAAAATTCCAAAGAAAAAAAACTTTGCTTACCTATCAATAACTTTTCCGGAACCAATACCCATAGCTAGGAGTTCATCCTTCTGTCCTTGCAGAACCTTAAAGAACACATCTGGAACTACTTCCTGAAAGAAGTGGAAATTTTCATGAAATTTTAGGCATACCAAGATTGAGAAGCCATGGTAGATTAAATTACACATTTTTTAGAGAAAGCAGTTTATGATGATGTTTACATTATACATACATACATGTATACACACAGAAACTTTATTGGTAATATTCAGTGAGAGTTTAATTATACATAAGCTAACTATTTTGTAGATAAGTAACAAAATAAATCAATAATCTGAATCAAAATGAAATATTTTTTTTACTATCAAAATACATGACTGTATGATAATCTTAGAATTGCCTTATACAATCATTACAAAGAAGTTGTATAAATATTTATTACATACTTAGTAATAAATACTAGCATCTATTTGTGTATACAAAATAGATGCCTTTATTTTACGAGAAAAGTATATTTGCAGGGACCTATATACTAGTATATAGGTCCCTTGTACGTTGGCTTTTAAGAGTCGGGCTTGGATGACACAGCAAGTGTTGTCTATATAAAGGGTCGGGTTTGTTCTTCACATTCCTTTCTGCTGAACCTTTCAAAGGTAAAGACGCATATCAAATGTTTGCAAAGAATACATCTAATTTTTGCTTTGTAATTTTAAAAACCCTCCCTCCCACCACCTTTATAAGAATTTTCTGTTTTCTAGTAAGGTAGCATTTTCTGCTGCTTGGTTTTTGCTTTATTTTGCAGTGAAGCAGCTGTGATCTTTACGTCCGAGATGAATACCTTATACCTATACAGAAAATCATCCTGGTACTTTCTAAAGGAAAAGTTGAAGTGAAGAATTTGCCGCATCAAGTCCGTTGCCAGCTAAAACGTTTGTGCGGAACATGAATTCAACTGTCTCTGTGCAGTATGCTAACATAATAGTGTTGCAAACTCGGACCAAATTTACTATCGTTTATAAACTGAATCGGTAGCATACAATCGATTAAAGGATTGATAGTTTGAACTTTAAAGGAAATTGTCGTGGCACTTCCTGAAGGAGAAGTCGTTAGATTGAAGCGTCTGTGCACACCAAGTCAACTGATAACTGAATATTTGTGTGAAACTTGTACTGAACTGTCACCTTGTTGATATGCTATTGCTAGTGTAAACTAAGCTAATAAGCTTACTCTTGGTGACAGTGATATATACTTTAGAGCTGTAATATATAGTACATGTACAAGTTTGAAATATGAAAAAGTTTGATATTTGAAGTTTGAGATGCTTGATCTATGAAGTTTGAAATATTTGATATATATTATGTACAAGATTTGATATGTGAAGTTGATATGATTGATATTTGAAGTTTGAGATATGACTTTGATTTTGAACAGTTTGTATGTTGATTTTGAACAGTTTGTATGTGTGCTGACCCTCCGCGGTAAACCCGGGACGGTTAGAATTTGAAACACACATGGTGTTTGAATTTGGTGGGATTGCCCAGTTGAAATGGCATCCCACAATGTTTGTATTTTCTTGTGCCACGGCCAATACTCGCCACAATAAATAAGTATAAATTCTATACTGAGTTTTCTCTGTATAAATAAAGGATTTTTGCATATGCGATATGCCTGACGTCACAATAGCCGTATCAACCCTGCAGGGCTGTAAAACATACCCTTTTCCTAATCACATCCTATATCAGCCATCAACCAATATCAACCCGAGGGCCTTCGGCCCTTTGGCTGATATTGGTGTCCTGGGCTGATACAGGTTGTGATATGGAAAAGGGTATGTATTATTCTCTATATATACAGAGAGGCAAACCCGAGGCCACCAAGTTTCATAAATATCATCATCAAGTAAGGCTGTGGGTAGATTACAGTGTATATTAAGCTTTATTTACACTGATTGGTTTCTTAAAAGGCTTCCATGTTTTCCATTTAGAATATTAAGGTTCAAGTCACCACTAAAACAACTTTAGTTGATACCTTTTAAACTCAATTGACTGAATTAAGAAGTACACATGTACTACAATCTCAGTAGGGCTATGCAATAATATCGATATTTCGGTGTATTGCGATTCATTGACAAAAAAAAAAAAATACTATTGCGATATGTTTTCTCAGTACTGATATACTAGTAAAATGCTTGGGCTTGGGATTTCTAAAGTAAAATATGAAATTTAAGATGTCAGAAATATTTTCAATCAATCCTATATTTAAACTAAGTGTAATATTAAAAAAAAAGTTTTAAAAGGAGAAATACACTACCAGTATGTGCAGAACGCTGTCTGTGGAACACTAGTTTCACATTTAGACTATGTTGTAAAAGTTTCACATTTGGACTGTATTGTAATAGTTTCACATTTAGACTGTATTGTAATAGTTTCAATTTTAGACTGCATTGTAATGGTTTCACATTTAGACAGTGTTGTAATAGTTATACATTTATTCTGTATTTTAATAGTTTCACATTAAGACTGTGTTGGAGTAGTTTCAAATTTAGATTGTGGTGTAATTTAGACTGTGTTTTAAGAGACTGTGTTGAAATATAGTTTCACATTTAGACTGTATTGTAATGGTTTCACATTTAGACTGTGTTGTAAAAGTTTCACATTTAGACTGTATTGTAATAGTTTCACATTTAGACTGTATTGTATTGGTTTCACATTTAGACTGTTGTATTAGTTTCTCATTTAGACTGTGTTGTAACAGTTTCACATTTAGAATGCATTGTAATTGTTTCACATTTAGACTGTGTTTTAATAATGGAGCAATGTAAAATAATAAGTTTTTGGCTTTTTTCAAATATCACATCATGTGATTTAAGATTAGGAAATTCCACTTGGAATTCATCTGCTAGTAATGGGAGAAAACATCATTCTAGACTGTTACAGAGTAGCTGTAATATGCCCAAAAATTAGCAATCTCCATGTGCAGTATATACTTTACCTCCAACCCAGTGTAGTCTTTGGGGACTCCATGGTAGACATCATCTCCATCGGGTCTGTTGATGATCTTACCAGGAGTAGGGTTTCTGTAATTAATTTATTCTTATTATATTAAAGATGAATCAATTTAATTGACATCATAATTAAATATATAAGTCTTTCAATGGCACATTATTTCTATAAAGCTTTACAAACTGCATACTTTAAAGCATAAAGTTTTGAAAAAAATGTATAAGATGGCTTTGAATTTGTTAGACCAATGACTATTTATCTGCATGAGTACAAACATATTGTCAATTTAATGGATACTATGGGTTTTTTCCTTACTCTTTATTATCTGCTATGTCATCTACCATCATGATAACAATTTGTTCATCAGGAATTCCATGATTTTTCAGAATTTGATATGCATGACATACATCAGACTATAAAAAAAGAATGCATTTAGAGGTGTGTTCATTCTCCAAAAAGGTTATTTTTGTTGATTATATTTACATCTCTCTTAAGCTCTTACAGTGACAGTGTGCTGCGCGCATCTCAATTAATCTTGAACTAAATGAGAACACGAGAAATGGACATTTTTAAGAAAAATGTAGATTGACCAAGTAATTTAAATTGGACTGGGACCAAAGATTACATGCCCTTCTTTTGAAATATTTTCAAAACAAAATAAAGGAATGGCCCCATGGGAGAAGGGGGCAAAGGGAGGTGAGAAGGGGGGAGCAGGGAGACAGAGCTTGAAGAAAGTGTGCATGGGAGGAGAAAAGTAGTAGAGAGCTGGGGAAAAAAGAAAATTGGAAAGGGGAAAGAACGACGAAGTAATGTAGGAGGATAGGTGACAGCTGGGAGGAGGCAATCAATGGTCTCAACTCGAATTCGTCCTTACCTGACACCATAAACCCCTTTGATTATGTTTTTTGAAGTGAAAGCTATTAGGAATTCCTCATACAAATAAGTGTGATAAGGAAATGATTTATGGGGTTTCAAACTTTTCTTCCCAACGTGAAGTGCCCGGACTAATTCATTTCCTTTTTGTTACTTACAGTTAAGTATGTAATAAAGACAAACTTTTTTTTACGTTTATGCCTTAAACTTTCATAACATTTAAATGTTTGATGCATTTTCAAGCATTTTTCTGATATGCTCATAACAGTCTAAGCATATATATATATATATATATATATATATACATATTATATGCATGTACATACTCTTCAACAAACTAGAAATAACCTTTGAAACATTATCATTTGTTGATCAGTTTAAATCATGCATTTATTATGCTCTTGAATCAATTTAGATATTGGACATGTACTTAAAACGATATCACATGCTATTTTATATGGTTCCTTTATTAGCATACAAGATTAACAATAAATATGGGTTTTCATCACATGTTGGAACGATAAGATATTTATTAACCTTGTAACAGGCACTGGGATAGGTTTATCAGAAGTTTTGCATATCTCATGACTCAGATAAAGGATATTACATGTATATGTAGTGTTTGTTCTAAAACTTATCCTGAATACATTAATAATTTTATACATTAACATATATACATTACAGCAATATTTTATAACAACTTTATTATAACTGCATGCAGCTTCTTTCATAAAATGAGTTAAAAAAAAAACAACAGATAAACAAAATTCAATTCTACTGTATTCATTGCACGATTTCAACTGACTGCTGTGAGCTGTGCTAAAATTTCTACTGTCATTCCAAGGCTTTTAGTGCAGATCACTGACCTACTGAGTATACCTCACCCCATCCGCCCTTGCCTTAAATTACATTTTTACTTTGATTTTATATGAAGACTTATGTTTTGTTTTGTAGAAAGGAAGACAAAAGAAGTTATTGAAGAATATATATATTGCCAAACCCCCTAACTCTGTCACTACACTAACTCTGTCACGTTCGGGAAACTCCGCACTGTTTGTAAACGAATGCATTTATGACATCATTTTTTACATGCTGAAAATCTACAATCAATTGCCGAGAAATTATGACAGTCAAGTTCAAGAATGTGTCAAAAATAAATAACAATTACACGTGATCTATTGTACCTATCTGTCCTATCATATTTTATGTGAAATCAGTAAGCACTTTTTCCTTTATGTGCTATTCCATCGATACCTCCGACATTTGCGTCAATATGTTCATTTTTACATGTCAGTCATATTTATGAAGGTCTTTGACAAAGAATTAATTAGACATTGAATATTGAATAATTAGAATATTGAATATGGCTAAAAATATTTTATTTTTCGTCTCAATTTGCCCTAATACGCTACACGTTGGAGATGACATTATTACATATAAAATACGTTATATTAACATTATTTTTTCTGTTGTTGATACTTTTCCTAAAATACAATTCAAAACTATTTTAAATCTTCAAAACTAATTTTCTATGTTTACAAGTTTAAGACAAAGGGATAAAAAAACCAATCTGGAAAAAAATTTATAATCAATTCGTTGTCATATTGTAGAGGGCCCTGGTGACGGAGTTAGGGTTCATTGAACATAATGTACACGGATGTGATATGCGTTCTATTTATAGTAGTTTTGTATAAGCCCAAGAACTGAATTTTTAAAAATTGTTCTGAAAACAATGTTTAAGTTCATTACTATAAGTGTAGCAAACAAGAAACAAATCAAAAAAATAATTGAGAGAGTAACCTGGGGTGTTTTCCACTTATGGTGACGAAGTTTGGGTAGTAGGGGATACAATCAAACTTCATAATCTCTAAACTCGAAGGGACCAAAAAAAAAGATATCTAAGGATTTGAGAAATTGAGGGTAAAATATTATAAGTGGTTGGGACTTCCAAATCACTACGACATATCCATGGTATTCGAGATATCAGTGTTCGAAATACTGAAGTTCAACTGTACATGCATGCAGTTTGTTTGTAATAAGTAAACTACAATGTCAAGTACGTATATATATTAACGCATCTTGTTAATTTTTTATGTACACATAACATATTTGTATAACAAGAACTTGAAATAATAAATTTTAAAAGAAAACAAATCTTTTACTATTTCTTGACTCAACTGAATGAAAATATTACACAGCAAAATATAAGGGGAAATGGAGGGTGAAAAAAGACACAAAGGAAAAAGGAACAAAAATAATCATGCAATACCTGATGTCTGTAATTTCCCCAGCCATTGGAACCTGCCACCAGTAGTGCCCAGTTCTTCCCGCCGTTCTCTAGGGGTGGGAATACTAAGTCATTGGGGATGGACACTGATATCCCCACACAATATGCCAAGATCAGGACTAGCACCTTCATCTTTCTCAACAAGTTATTCAGAAATTGTTCTGTTTTGATTACAGTATCACGTGGTATTCTGTCATGTGCAAATTTTCAGAAATTCCAAAAAGCACGTGATTGGTTCGCATTTAATGCTGCAAGTGGGAAATTATTTACCTTTAAATGCTTATAAAAGTCAGGTAATGAATGTCTACATCATGTACACCTGTCTAACTCTACTATGGAATTACGTATGGTGTAAACAGTAAACACACTACTTTCAGTTTGAGTTGAACTACAGGCGTGGATCCATGTTTTCCGTAGTGTAAACGTCAAGCAGTTTTTAATAAATACTTACATATTCGCATAAAACAGGGACCTATATATAGGTCCCTGCATAAAATTTAAAAAAAAAACAAATTAAAACAAATTAAAAATAACAAGATGTGTTTGTGAAACACTGATGCCCCCGTATGGCAACTTATAGCAAAGGTTAAACTTTCTCAAATGCAAATCAAATATGCTGGTACCCAAAGTAGGTTTTGTCTCGAGGAATATACCTGTGAAATATGAGAGCCCTAGCAGCAACCATTGAATAGATACGGAAAAGGTTAAGGTTTTTCAAAAGTAAGACAAACATCAAGGTCAAATGGTTAAAAAAAAAAACGGTGCCTAAGGATAGGCCTTCTTACAAGAAACATACTGGTGAAATATGAAAGCTGAAGCACAAATCGTTCAAAAATTATGACCAAGGTTTAAGTTTTCCAAAAGTAGGTCAAACTCCAAGTTCAAGGTCAATGGATTACAATTGTTGGTATCCAAAAAAGGTCTTGTTACATGGATTACATATGTGAAATATGAAAGCCCTAGCACCAGCGGTTCAAAAGTTATGGCCAAGGTTAAAGTTTTCCAAAAGTTCAAACTCAAAGGTCAAGGTCAAAGTTGTTGGTATCCAAAGGAAAGTCATGTTACAAGGATTACATATGTGAAATATGAAAGCCCTAGCACCAACGGTTCAAAAGTTATGGCCAAGGTTAAAGTTTTTCAAAAGTAGGTCAAACTCCAAGGTCAAGGTCAAAAGGTAAAAGTTGTTAGTATCCAAAGAAAGGACTTTTCACAGGGATTACATATGTGAAGTATGTAAGCCCTAGCACCATTGTTCAAAAGTTATGGCCAAGGTTAAAGTTTTTCAAAGGTAGGTCAATCTCCAAGGTCAAGGTCAAAGGGTCGAAGTCGTTGGTATCCAAAGGAAGGTCTTGTCACAAGAATTACATATGTGAAGTATGAAAGCCTTAGCACCAACTGTTCAAAAGTTAAGGCCAATTTTAAAGTTTTTCAAACGTAGGTCAAACTCCAAGGTCAAGGTCAAAGGGTCAAAGTTGTTGGTATCCAAAGGAAGGACTTGTCACAAGGATTACATATGTGAAGTATGAAAGCCCTAGCTCTAACTGTTCAAAATTTATGGCCAAGGTTAAAGTTGGGTAAAATTTTGTAAAACTAGGTCAAACTCCCAAGGTCAAGGTCAAAAGGTCAAATACGGTGGTACCCAAAGAAAGGTCTTGTCACAAGGAATACACATGTGAAATATGAAAGCAATAGCTCCAACCAAGCAAAAGTTGTGGGCAATGTTAAAGTTTTTGCGGACAAACAGATAAACAGCTAAACAGACAGACAGACGGACGGACAGGGCAAAAACTATATATCCCCGAATCTTCGATACGGGGGCATAAAAATTATAATTCTTGAAATAGTTCATCAATTCACTACAATTCGTATGAGGGGCCGATTTCACAGGTACATGGGGACGGTACCCCCTCCCCCTTCCACGCTTTCTGTACCCCAAGTGTTCTTCGACTTTTTTATATAAAATATTTTATATAAAAAAGTCAAAGAACACTTGGGGTACGGAAAGCGTGGAGGGGGGTCCTATCCCCAAGTATACCTGTCGCCGATTTGGCATTAAATGATACGTGATATCGTTCCGAGCTATGACCGGATATCGCAAAACCTTGACATTGTGAAGATGTAAATGATACAGGACAGAATATGTAATTTATTTCTAATTTAGAGCCCACAATAGACAAATATAAAATGATTAAATAAAAAATAATAAGGAAAAGACAAACCAGTGGATATTTGAGAGTACAATGAGTCATGAACTATTTCAACTGTGAATTTTAAATAGTCTGAAAACGAAATCATGGAAATGGCAAAACCTGAAAATATTGCGGGCTTACATTATGTTCTACTGTAGAATTTTAAAACATAATTAAGACAAATTATAAAATATATTTATAAATTTGTTTAAATCTTCATGAGTAGTTATTTTTCAAAATTTATGATTTCTTGAAAAAAAAGATGAAATTTTCAATTTGCGTATAATTTGGGAAGTTTTACCTTAAGTAATTTCGGGAGTTATGCAATTTTGATTTGGGACAGTCAGGACCCTTTTACCGGACTTACATGCGATGGATATTAATCAAACCCCGTTTGATGATATCATGCATTCGAATATATGTAGGTGATCAATACAAGTATCACCTATTGGTGATTTCACTACATGCATTTAGAATGTCTTATAGATCTACAAATTACGAGATTGTGAGTTTGCATTTAATTGGAAGAGAAAGTCATAAACGAACGAAAGTTGTTTAATTCCTTGAGTTAAAACTGCCTCCCCTATTTCCAGCTTTTGTGTGTGTGTGTGTGTGGGGGGGGGGGGGGGGGGGGTAGGCAGATTGTTTTGGGTATGAACCGCCTTAGGAAAAATAAATGGGTCCATCCTTTATTTCTTTCGTCGTTTAACTTTTTAAAAGGATCCTAACTGGAAATACTGGATCCGCCTCGCCGTCTGTTTTTCCCCCTCACTTTGTCTTTGATTTATTTTTCTTGCGGAGCTTATATTCATGGGTAAAATATGAGGTAATTGTAAAAATATCGGGTCATATCCTCGTGAATTTTCGAGGCTGAAGACCATCTTCAAATACACAGCTGAACTATTAATTAAAATTAATCTCTTTAAATAAAATACGTAACTTGAGAAACTTTCTTTACATTACCTAACAAAGTAAACGTCGGTATATACTTTTATTCTCCACAGTTCAGGGATAAGGTGTACAAAACTCTATAGAAAACTGCTATTGTTCTAAGCAGAGAATTGGGGGGGGGGGGGGGGTTGTGGTTGTGGTCATGAATGATGAACAAATTGGTTTCTCTGGAAAACCTGTAAAATATTGATAATCCCAGCGTTAATGTACCATAATAATTCATTTATTCCTACATGTTTTAACACAAAGGGATAAAAGATATAGAGAGATTGCAATTTCCCCGGTATTTATATGTATCAGTATTACTGATCCACAGTACTACCTGGTTTGTTTAATTGTGCGAATAACGTGGATATTAACCCTAAAGAACTTTGTACAATATGTCATTCTCCATGAAACACACGTCAGAAAGGTTCTGCGGACAACGGACATATTTTGTAAGCAAGTTATTCATCAGAAAATTTTAAAATAAACCACTGTGTTTTTAATCTTCGAAAAACGATTTGTCATAATATAATGTATTATTTTTCAGATATTAGAAAATGTCGTGTAAAAGTAACATTGTTTTAGGCATCCTTATGCTGTACATTTACATGTCAAAGTATGAAGCTACTTACATCAGCAAGCAACTTAGAGTCTTTCTAAATCCACCAGAGAAGAAAGACCGGACTATACAACAACTCAATTCTGCAATTTACTATGCAGCCAGAAACCACGGACACGGTATAGAGGTAGAAAATTTCATGAATTCAAAGAATAACTTAGATAAAATATTCTTATAGACTGACACTAGTAAATGATGTAAATTATATTTTTGCCCTTAAGGTTAAAGACTTCAGAAAGATCGAGGTGAGATGAATTGGAAGTGTATATATTTATCTGGTCCATATCTCTGTTACGGGGACACATTGGTTTTTTTTTGGTTTGATTGTTTGTTTGTTTAATGTCCCTTTGAGAATTTTCCACTGGTATTGAGACAATTGTAGGAACAATGGTCTGAGACCTATAAAGTCTGTGCTCGATTTTATACGTATCATATTGAGACGCCACAATTTGCCGGTGGAGAGCTGCAAATTTAAACAATTTTTTCCACTTTTATTCAATATTTAGGATTTTGATAATTTCCAGATAAAAGTTTTATAATACTTCGATGTAATTCCCCGAATTAGCTTCTTTTTTTAAAATTTCAGACAGACATGTTTAGTACACCGTCTTGGAACATAGCCTCTGTGCAATGTACGTTTTAAATTTTAAATAATACCAACGAAAAATCTGGTTTTACCAAACCCTGTCCTTTTTCAACGGAACACAAGGGCCCTGTAAATTAATTTTGTGCTTTACCAAACTTGTTTTTAATTGTTTTGGTACTATTTAAAATAATAATTACATAGGATTGATAGGAATGCTTGTTGTAGCACGGTTATCATGGAGTAGATGTGCACGAGATTCACGAGATCCATTCTCTGACTGATTATTCAGACGTAGAGGACAACAACGCGGAGGATAGACACAAGGCCATTAAGGAACGCAGAAGAAGTAGGTGATTTTTATTAGTTAATGATATCAGAATATCCTTACGTAGGAAATATCAGCATGTACTTACGTACGGGATATCAACATCTGCTGTGTAGGGAGCATAAACATGTCGTTACGTTTACGGGCTATCAGAATGTCGTTACGTAAGGGATATCAGCATGTCGTTAAATTATATCAAAATGTCGTTACGTACGGGATATCAGAATGTCGTTACGTAAGGGATATCAGCATGTCGCTATGTACGGGATATCAGAATGTCGTTGTGTAGTGGATATCAGCATGTCGTTGCGTAAGGGATATCAGCATATCGTTACGTAAGGGATATCAGCATTTATTATATATTTGTTATATAATACAGGATATTTGCATCCCTGCTATGAAAACAGGTACACCCTGTATTAGCACCCTTTATTTCACCTTTATCATACCCTTTATGAAGTGTCTGGGAGAGGAACGAACGACAATTCTGCACATGAGATTGACCCTTTATTTTCCCGAACCTCCCTTTATTTTTCATTCCGAGTACCTCGAATCTTTTTCTATTGTTTATGAAGTTCATTTGAAAGATGGTTTATGTTATTCAAAATAACTATTCGTTTTATTTAGAATTATTTCATTTCTTATCGCTGAACGCATTGCCTTTGGAAAAAATAATGAGAAACGGAAATTCAACGAAAACAGATCACATTCAATTATTAAAAATTTAGTTATCAATTTAAAAGTTTATATATGATTTTTATGACACTATTTTCAAATATATAATAAAAACAATAATACATGGCAAAATCTGTATCACACCCCATACCAACCCCAGACTCCAATATCAGCCCGAGGGTCGATATTCTCTATGCCTCACATGTACGTAGGGGATTATGTTCAAGGGAACAGCATGTCATTTTTATATCAAGTCAATTTATAGAACAAGTTTGAAATTCCTTTAACATTTATCGGGTTAGTTGGGACCAGTTGTCCGAAATGCGATATAGTAGCCCGTTTTGGATAAAGCAACCCAAAGTTTTCACACTTTGACAAACATTATTCAAGTTTTCTTTATGAACATAAATCTAATAAACATGTTGCTGTTGGGAAAAAAGTAAATGCTATTTATCCTAATCAGAAAATATTTGCATCTTATACCGTATGCAATGGCCAATTTACTCTACATAAAGCACATGTTTTGAAGGAAAGTTTAATTGACTTTTTTTACTTTATATATATATATATATATATATATATATATATATATATATATATATATATATATATATATATATATATATATATATATATATATAAAACCAGCTAGGTATTAGTGCAAACTTCCAGAGCATGTACATGTACAAAATTTTTTTTTTGGTTTATGTATATCTTAAGACATTTTGAAAACAGTTTAGACGTATTTATTTATTTATTTTTATTTTTTTAATTTAATTTTTTTTTTATTTATTATTTTTTTGTATATTACGAAGAGATACAAAAATCAGATACTGAGGAACGTATCGTCAGACTTTAAAGAGAGATGTGCAATGTTATTCTTGACAGGGCGATGTAAAGGTGTCGTATGCGAGAACGGGGGGAGTGTGGTGATAGAAGGGGGACAATGTGTCTGTTCCTGTGCCGGAAATTACGTAGGATATAACTGCCAGTATAGAGGTAAATATATAGTTATAAAATTCTTTTCATAATCCAGCTTTAATCACTTTCGTAAGACTTGGGAAAAGAGTATTTTTGGTGACACACTAGTCTAAGGCTAAAAGGAGAATCCGTAAAAAAGTACGTAAGAAATATGAAAGAAGGTCAAGTTTATCTTTTGATGTTCAAAGCATCAAAATTTGTAAAATTTTTAATTGGAAGAAGGTTTAAATGTCGGTGTAATTGACCAACACATAAATAAGCAGGACAAACATTTTGGCAAATTACGACTGATCTTTAGTAGTAATTTGGTCAAAATATCCAGTCTTGTCTCGAAAAAGTTTGGTACCTTTGGAAAATTTTTGAAGATGGGCTTAAAGTTCATTGATACTCTGAAAAAAGGAATAAATCTTAATGAAATAAATCTGTTTGCATTTTATGAAATACATTTCTTTTGGAAAACAACAAGCATTCAAGCACCATTTTATATGAGTGACCAGAGGGATTATGAACCTATATGCAGACCTGCTTTGGGGGTAAAAATAACAACAAAATCGAATAACCCTTCTTGTGTTATTGCAGTGTTTCCACAGTTCAAGCATTAACTCGGTCGGTTAGAGCATAACGAAAGTTATTTTACACCCTGGTTCGAATCCTTGGTGTAAGCACTAATTTTTTTTTTATCTTACTTATTTTAATTTTAATTTTATGATCAACAATTGATATTTTTCGCGAGAATTTAGATAATGTCACATCCTTTTAACTTAGAATTTTATACATGTATAAAAGGGAAAAGGAAGCATTCAAGGAAACGTAATGAGCAAGCTCTTTCTTAGGACAATAACCACTTTTTTGTGTTTCTCGAAAAATTTTTGCAACGCAAAACTAGTCATTTTCCTTTCAAGAACCCCTCTATCACAACGCTAACTTGATGTTTGACTTGTAATATCCAAATTTCTATTGGTCCAGTTTTCCATATTTTTTGTGAAACGAGTCATTTAAATTTCAGAAGCATAAATTCACCCTCCATGGATATAAGCAACGGATTCAAATGAAAATAAAATCGAGCACAGACTTTATAGGTCTCAGACTATTGTTCCTACAATTGTCCTTTTTTAACATGCAATATCGAACAGTATTACTCTTTTCTAGGAGATAACTGCGGGTATTCCCACTACACTGACTGCTTCCTGAAGCCAACACACGCTGATCTTCCCACCGGATACTGGGCCTTAAACTTCGTAGGATTCAAATATTCATTCATCGACATTTATGTATTATTCCATCTAAATTGATTTACTATCAGGAATTTCAAACTAAAAAAAAATTAAGCTGAATTATTTTTTCAGCAACATCACTTCCTTGCTGCAAGAGCCAAATATAGTAAGACAATTCATGTAACCAGCGAGGAACTGTATTTAGGTCAGGGACTCTTTCATCTCTCCTGATGCACAAAATAATGTTTTCAAAATTATTTATATTATGTGAAAGAAATCATCATTAATTAATCAATGATGTTTGAAAATGTCCATGCTGTTGGAATATCATGACGCAATTTTTGAAAACTTACAGGTAAACCCTATAAATTGACCTTCTCCTACACTCAAAAAGCCCGGCATCTTTATCATAGATTCAAGGTGAACAATTACCTGGCTGTGATATGGAAGGGACTACATAAAAAATCAAAGACTCTATACAACCAAAACTTTGGTCATTACGAGGGAATTACAGGAACTAAATGTGTCAACGTGCCGCAAGGATTTGGCGAAGTAAGGAAGTTTTAACTTAGAGGGAACTAATTTGGATCAAAAATAATTCATAATTATGTCCTATTGTAATTTTTTAATTTACCAGGTGGTAGTAAATAGAAAAAGTACAATATAACATCTATTTGTCGTACTAGTATTGTAATTTTTCTATTTACTTCACCAGTAAATTCAAAAATTACAATATGACAATTAACTCATTTTCCCTGAAATATTGCAGATTATAATAACGTTTTCATGCTGCAATCCTTACCACTGCAACATCGTGCCACCTCACGACAAGCATTACATTAAGAAGAAAAACACGTCTTTCTTTCTGGATGAAGTACGTTTGCAGCCAGGAAAATGTTAAGCGGAAATCCAAATTTAACCAAATTATAATGCCGTATATATCTATACTTATAAATTAATACATTTTGCAAATAAACTCCGAAATGGGTGCACCAGAGTTCTTACTTACTCCTCTAACAATACGCTAGGTACAAGCTGATGTCCGTAAACTATATTTAGATTTCACTCGCATACGGCATAGTAAATATCGTACATTAAATTAAAAGTCTACTTTCATTATCTATAAACAGCCATGAAATAGCTAAAACGTGAGTACGGTGGCGTTTCCGGTTGGCGGATCTAAGTTACTGGCAATTTTTAATGAAACTGACAACAAGCAATCGATTATTTATTACAGAAAACGTCATCACTGAATTATTCAATCAAAACTCGATTTAAATTATATAAAAGAAATAAGTTGTGATAACCGATTAAAAAGGGAAATGTGCAAAATATTTTCGTCATTCACCGATCTTTATATTGACGGAAGCTTCTAGAACATCATATAGCATCGAGCCCGATGTTAAGAAAAAAACGAGGCGATTATAGCTACATGACCATAAAAAAAGCTTTTGTGTAAATGGTCATAATTGAAATAATGGTAAATCACTGATAACACTATAAGTTGTGAATATAATTATATATCGAAAGACTATTACATATACATGTACATGTAGTAGGTTTTCCTAATACATTTATCGGTAAAATTTGTACATATACCTTACTGAGAGCATCGTGGCAACGAACCCGAAGTACAATTTGTACTTCGTAATAAACTTGCTTACATGAAAAGAGAAAATTAATGAATAAGGTATTGTTCAAATACAATTAAAGATGTAAGATTTTGCGCATTAATCAATGCACAGTTAATTTCTGAATACAATTTTTTATAGCTGCAATAATGTAGCCCTCTCCTTTTTTGAAGGGGGGGGGGGGGGGGCAGAGAGAAAGGCCAGAAAATATCAGATCAAAAAAAAAAAAAAAAAAAAAAAAATCGGAGAGGGCTACATTATTGCAGCTTAGTCTTTTGTATCAAATACTCAGCCTATTCATAGGGAGCTAAAAGCTAATTTTTACACAGATACTTGGTTCTTGGTTTATAAATATGTATGTACCTTATTGATAGGTAAAAAGTAAAGTACATTTTTACATATCAATAAGGTACAAACATGTTTATAAACCAAGACCCAAGTACCTGTGAATTCCCCCCCCCCCCCAATCAATTTATTAGTAAAATGTGCATATTCGTTGCTTTTATCCTTGACGGAAATAAAATAATTAAGAGCATCAGAAGTACAATATCCATAACATAGTATAACAGGTTTCACAATAAACGTCAATTAATGAAATTGCTATTTTTCAAGTTAAAAAAAAAATTAAACAAAACAAACACAAAAAACGGGGGTTGGGGGTGGGATGGGGTGGGGGTGGATAGGTAAATCTTCTTCATGCAGGATTTGAACATAGTATTTGTTCCTGCTATAAGCCTGTAAGCTGTCAGTAGAGAACTACAATATATTTTCTGTTGGTAGTGGTATAAATTCAATTCCCCGCGCTTGCGCGGGATTTCATCTAGTATATATATATATATATATATATATATATATATATATATATATATATATGTGTGTGTGTGTGTGTGTGTGTGTGTGTGTGTGTGTGTGAGGGTGTGTGTGTGTGTGTGTGAGAGAGAGAGAGAGAGGGTGTGTGTGTGTGTGTTTATTTGAATTAAATGTACTAAGATTCTCTTGAAATTTTTAATTAAATGTACTAAGATTTCTCTTGAAATTAGAAATCTTACTAGAACCACATTGTATTGAATAGGAATGCATCCGTTAACAGCACGGGCGCTTGACTTTAGGTAGAGGAACCTCATAAATTTTGTAATAAGAAAACTATTTAACGTCAAGGTCCTGTGGTTCATAGTGTGCCGAACGCATCTTTTTTTTCACTTGAGGTTTCGATTTTAAGCTAAAATTGAAAAAAAAGCCCTGTTGATTGATTTGTAAGCTGACATTAATGATGTTATCTTGAGATCATATTTGATATGCATGTGTATTTGTTTTACAATCAAAGCACAAATATTTTGTTCAACCCACCGTTTTATTTTTGCAAAATAATGCACAATTAGACAGTGTTCTATTCATCTTGATCCCTCAGGTCAGATGTTTGTGTAAATGACAAATATTTGTCAAGTATGGCAAAGACAGTCTGTAAACACCCTTTTAGTATTTTGATATTTTCATGACTATCGGGATTGTCACATTAAAATTCGAAGCATGAATGCTATATAAAATAAAACGGATGTTCTTGATTGATACTCGGCGATATCATTGTGTCCCCTGATTAATCTTCTTTTACTGTTATGAGCCAGACAGTAATATTGAACAGCTTCCTCATATTTCCCCAGTTTCAATGCTGTAACTGCAATCAATATGTAGTTCAAATGCTCACTTCTTCTGTACCTCGTCGAGAGACAACTTTTCATTAAAGGGAACATTTTCTCTATTTTATCGTGATCACATAATTGGGTATAACAAAGAATTTTCAAAAATATAGAGTACATCTTTGGTGGAATAAAAAGGCGAAATTCGGTTTTTTTCACCATGCATACTTCAAGTGCAAGCTCCATCGGTAAAAGAGGCATCATTGAAAAGACCTCGAAATCATACGAAACTGCGAGTGAAGCTTTTTCCAGCGAACTCAGTCCGCGTCCACAAAAACTTGTCCGATAATTCCCAACCGTATGGAGACCATATCGAATGCTTAAGTATAAGTAACCGAGATCTTTATTTATTATTTCTTCATAGTCCGAGATATAATCAAGGGCTTGTAAGAATTGACCAAGACAATAATGAGCTGTCGCAAGAGTTAAATTCCCTTTGCTGATATCTGCAAATCGAGCATGGTTCAGGTAAGAAAGGGCTCGTTTGATTAAGATGTACTTGCCTCGTGTAGTAGTTTTTTTGAGTGACAAGTTCAAATAGATCAGAGCTAGATGGCATAGATTTTGATACCTGCGTAATCGCAAAATATCCAAATCCGCCCGGTCCAAATCTTCAGTCATTTCAATTGTTACAGAATTTCGTAGCTCTTTCTCTAAAGGGTCTCTCCCTGGAATTGCTACAAACATAGAATTAATTTCGCTAAAGACTCCTATGTCGTGAACTTCTTCTTTTTCTTCATTTTCAACGTGTCTTCTAGAAGATGTCAGTGATTTAAAATCTTCGTTTTGATTCATACATGGCATTGTTCGTCTTGCATCCTCCAAACATTTTTTTAAGTACGACAGTGAATGGCAACGTAGCAAACACCTCCAACCTTCTTTGTATATTTCTGAAATATTTTCAGATGTAAACTTTAACTCGCTTTCCCGAACTTTACCCTGAAACATATTATTTTCCCTTACAAAGTAATTCGGACAAAATCCAATATCCAGCCATTCAATTAATCGTTTCAGGCAAACCTCTACACAAAATACAAGTCGTTCGGGTTTCCAGTATTCTGATGGTGTGTCTTCGATTGTCCAGAACATTAAAGTTTTTAAAAAGTAAGAACATAAACAATTTTTCATTATAGGGTCTTTAGAAAAGACTTCATTGTTTAGAAGTTTCAAAATTCCAAATGTGAGAAACTGTGTGTCATTGAATGAGTACACGAGTTTTTTCTCTGCTACGGAGAAGGACAAACGCCACTGGAATGGATCTTCTCTCCACTGAGGATTTTCCTCTGGCATAGAATATTTGAATTCAGTATAATCTTGAGATTTGGATCCAATTGCCATCAGATGACATCCATTTCTCATAATGTTTTTTACGAGGTCACTTGAAGGCCATCCATATTTTCTTCTCCTGCTGACCCATTCATTGGCGTAGATCGGCCAGTCTTTATATTCAAAGCAGAATGCTCTATCGTGTTCAGTTCCAAAATCATCTTTCTCCAACATACAGGGTCCATGTCGAACTCCTTTTGTTAAATGCCTTTGGAAGGAGCGCAGGAAAACTTCATTTGAAAGGAAATATTCGTTAGATATTTTTGTTGCCGCTTCTCGAATATGTTGTAGAGGAGTAAAAGGTGTCAATACAATCAGTTTGACATACCCTTTTGGAACATCGAAGGGTTTTACCATTCTTAAGAGAGCTACAGACTTTCCGATATCATTTGGAATAGTACTTACAACTTTTGTTAATTTATCAACGTACATTTGGTCAATATCTGAACCTCGTATTTGAAAACCTTCTGCGTTACCACCAGCCCGTATAACTTCTATTTGATCATTCAGTTTGCTCACTCTGTCTAAAATATCCATTATACGCCTCTTTAGTCGCTGTGAGTCGGGATCTCCCACTGCATTTACAAGGCTATCAGCTATCAGATATGAGAGGTGCGAGTCGTCCAACCAATTATTAGGCGACGCTTAGTTAAGAAAAATTAAAATGTGTTTATGAAATATTTTAAAGAGCCATTCTCTGTAATGACTTTAACTTTTATATAGGAGCTGTGGCACGCATAGTCTCAGAATTTCTCCAAACTCTCTATGATAAAAGTCTTTGATACCGTAAACTCAAATCAGGCAAAAAATTGGTTGCTACGTGACATGGTTACCATAGCAACATGTCCTAAAGTTTGAAAAAAGGCATTTTTCAACATGTTCAGAGTCCCACAGTTAACGTTTGCAGCAAAGCAAACAAGTGGCAATGACTGTTTCTGAGAGTTGAAGGTATTGTGTTTTAAATGCATGATAAACATGTTTGGTAAATCATCTATTACATACGTTACTATGGAAACAAAGTATTCAAAAGTAATAATTTTGTTCATTTAATTTTATAAAGTCATACACTTAAGAATAAAAAAAAATTATAGGTTGAAATGCAAGCAAATAATAGACAAGAGATCATTGTAACATATACCAAGGACGAAATATGATATTTCTTATAGGTTGGCAATGGTTGCCATGGTTTTAATACCACAAAGTTATTTTAAATTTACTTTCTTAGTGTTTTAATCTTATCCTATCTTTTTAAAAAGCAAATTTCTATATAACTGATGATCAATTTTTAAAGGCGCTGGTGTAACCCTAATTTTCACATTTGAAAAATTCAAATTCATTTCTTGAACTAGAGCGTTGCTATGGAAATTCGCGGAAAAAATATGCATAAAAATCTGAAAAATATTTTGTTTCCTTGGATACGTACCCTTGTATGTAGATTACCAAAACTGTTATGATTGATATATATGAACAACTAACCTGACTTTTAATTTTGACTACCAACCAATCTCTAACTGGATGCAAAAAGCTGGCACATAGGATTTAATATTGATATGAAATTAACAAAATCGAACATTTTCCCTTCTTGGTAACCATAGCAACAGTGTTGTATTTTTCAACAAACTTTATCAATATATGACATTCAACTTTAGTTCTACCAGATAAGAGCTATTCAAGGTGAGTCAAATAATATGTTTCTTGATTAAAAGCTAAGTAAATTCCTAAAGAAGCAAAAAAATATGACTTAAAACAACTGGTACGCTGTTTCCATGGTTACACTGCAAAGTAACAATTAATCCCAATATTTCTTATGTTGTTGGTGTTGCAAGGTCCTAAGGATGTATATGTGCCAGTCATGAATTTTATTGTTTTTCCTCAAGATAGTAGCATTAACACAATCTTAGCAACATATTTTGCATGGTAACTCTCTGTTACCATGGCAACCATGAAAGTTATTTTTAGAATGATATTGCCAATACCTAATTACTTAAGGTAAAATATTTTTATTGTTTTTCTTTGGTTGTTGATTGAGTTTGATCATGTAACATCTATCATTAGTGAATATTGAACACTTTTTCAGCATTTTTCAGCATCTAAAATGTATTCCAAATGTACCCATGGTTACCACTTACTTAGAGATAAATTCTAAATAGTTTCTTTATAGCATAAGTGGCAACAAGGTGTCATGTTTTTGTGATAATAGTTTGTTTGTTTTTCTTAGTCTTTATTCAGGCTTAATAAAGATTCAAAGTAGCTGAAAATCTCAATTTTTTCAACTTTTCTAGCTGTTACCATGGCAACCAAGACACATAGCAACGAAATTTTATTTGATAAATGTTTCTGGTGTCAAGTTGTTATAATAGGCAAAGTTTCATCAAAATCGGTGACCATGCGTGGCAAAGAAGTTTAAGTGGTTACAGAGAATCGCTATTAAGTATATTCGTATGTTTACATTTAGTAGTGCTGATAGAGTAAAAAAATGTAACAAGTTGAACAAAAATATTTTTAATATGGTAGTTTCTTGTACAGAAAAATTATTTTGACTAAAAATGCCCCCTTCCGGATCACTGTTTTGCTTACCATAGACGCCTTTAATAAATATTCATAAAACTATAGTGTATTTTAAGTTCATATTTTTACGTCCCCGTAATCGAAGATTCGGGGGCATATAGTTTTTGCCCTGTCCGTCTGTCTGTCCGTTTGTCCGCAAAATTTTTAACCTTGCACATACCTTTTGATTGGTTAGAGCTATGGCTTTCATATTTCACATGTGTATTCCTTGGGTCAAGACCTTTCTTTGGGTACCATCAAATTTGACCTTTTGACGTTGACCTTTGAGTTTGACCCACTTTTGCAAAATTTTATGAGACTTTAACCTCGGCCATAACTTTTAAAAAGATAATGCTTGGGCTTTCAAACTTAACATGTGTATTCCTTGTGACAAGACCTTTCTTTGAATACCAGCAACATTGACCTTTGACCTTGACCTTGGAGTTTGACCTACTGGTGAAAAAACCTAAACCTTGGTCCTAAATTTTGAACAGTTTGGGCTAGGGCTTTCGTACTTCACATGTGTATTTCTTGTGACAAGACCTTCCTTTGGATACCAACAACTTTGACCTTGACCTTGGAGTTTGACCTACTTAAAATTGAAAAATTTTAACCTTGACCATAACTTTTGAACAGTTGGTGTTAGGTCTTTCATACTTCACATATGCATTCCTTGTGACAAGACCTTCCATTGGATACTAACAACTCTGACCTTTTGACCTTGAACTTGGAGTTTGACCTACTTTTGAAAAACTTTAACTTTGGTCATAACTTTTGAACAGTTGGTGCTAGGGCTTTCATACTTCATATGTTTATTCCATGTGACAAGACCTCCCATTGGATACCAAAAATTTTGGCATTGACTTTGGAGTTTGACCTTCTTTTAAAAAAGTTTAACCTTGGCCATGACATTTAAATGTTTGGTTCTAGGGCTTTCACATTTCACGATCATGTGTATCACTTGTGACAAGACCTTCCCTTGGGCACCATTTGACCTTAACCTTGCCGTTTTACTTACTTTTAAAATCTTTAACCTTCGCCATAACTTTTCAACGGTTGGTACTAGGGCTTTCGTATTTCACAGGTATATTCCTCGAGACAAGACCTTTCTTTGGGTACCAACATTTTTGATCTCTTGACCTGGAGTTTGACTTGCATTTGAGAAACATTAACCTTGGTCATAAGCTGCCATACGGGGGCATCAGTGTTTCACAAACACATATTGTTATTACATTTGAGTGCACCATTGCGATTTTCTAGGAATGTGAAGTGTATAAATAGATCGCCAGTCAAGTATTACGAAGATTTAACTTAAGAAATTGATGTCATACAAAAGATACCAGTAGAGGCGAATGGACTTAAGGAAAGAAAATAGATATTTTCATTGGAAGAAGCATTTGAGCACCATGGCCATAAATATGGCTTTGCTAGGAATTAAGAAGTATGGTAATTAAAAAAAACTATAATATGTATTCACTATCAATGAAGATAACAATCTTGCAATTCAGTAGATCGATATTCATATATACCATAATAAAAATATTCACATTTATATTTTCTTTTCAATAATTTTCTATTAACCTTTTGTTTTAATGTAGTGTTTAGTAACCTTTACCTGTCATGATTTTATCCTTCAGCTGCAATGGAGATTGTGCATCTGAAAAATTAAAAAAATGATGGAAAATTTCCTAGATTTTATTTTGGGTTACGTCAGGAATTTAATCAAAAATATATATGAGGAAATGAGTTCCGGAAGAACAAATAACAGCATCTATACTTATAAATTAATAAATTTTGCAAATAAACTCCGAAACGGATGCACCAGAGTTTTTACTTACTCCTCTAAAAATACACTAGATACAATATGATGTCCGTAAACTATATTTAGATTTCACTCGCATTGTCAGTATCGTACATTAAATTAAAAGTCTACTTTTATTTTCTATAAACAGCCATGAAATAGCAGAAACGTGAGTATGGTGGCGTTTCCGGTTGGCGGATCTAAGTTTCTGGCAATTTTCAATGAAACTGACAACAAGAAATCGTTTATTTATTTCATAAAATGTCATCACTGAATTATTCAATCAAAACTTGATTTAAATGACATAAAAGAAATAAGTTGTGATAACCGATTAAGAAGGGAAATGTGCAAATTATTTTTGTCATTCACCGATCTTGATATTGACGGAAGCTTCTAGAACATCATAAAGCATCGAGCCCGATGTTAAAAAGAAAACGAGACGACTATAGCTGCAGGAACATAAAAAAGCTTATGTGTGAATGGTCATTGAAATAATGGTAAATCATTGATAACACTATAAGTTGTGAATATATTTATATATCGAAAGACTGTTACATATATGTAGTAGGTTTTCCTAATAAATTTATCGGTAAAATGTGTATATATTCCTCACTGAGAGCATCGTGGCAACGAGCCCGAAGTACAATTTCTACTTCGTAATAAACTTGCTTACATGAAAAGAGAAAATTAATGAATAAGACATTGTTCAAATACAATTAAAGCTGTAAAATTTTGTGCTTTAATCAATACATTTCAGTTTTTTTTTCTTAATACAGTCTTTTGTATCAAATATTCGGCCTATTCATAGGGCGTTAAAAGCTAATTTTTACACAAGTGCTTGCGTCTTGGTTTATACATGTATATATGTATGTACCTTATTGATATGTAAAAAAGGTAAAGTACATTGTTTACATATCAATAAGGTACATACATATTTATAAACCAAGACCCAAGTACCTGTGAATTTTTACCCCCCCCCCCCCCAAAAAAAACCCAATCAATTTATCAGTAAAATGTGCATATTCGCTGCTTTTATCCTTAACGGAAATGATATAAGAGCATCTATAGTACAATATCCATAACATCATGAACATAGTATAACAGGTTTCACAATAAACATCAATTAATGAAATTGTTAGTTTTTCGTTTTCAGTACAAAAGGGGATGGATTGGGGGGGGGGGGGGGGAG